TCCCAAAAATATTGTCCAGTTTGAGATTTCACTTTCAGTACAATTTGAACTAAAAATGAAAACTCAAACTGAACAATAATTATGGGACGGAGGGAGTATTTTTTTAGTCTTAAAAGAATTATCGTATTTGTTACATTTGAGAGGGAAAAAGTACATCTTTCTTTTATAGGTTAGAAAATATCGATCAGTAATCCATGTGCACACCTAATTAAGCTTCCTATTCACCAAAAATAGTTATTCGAATTTGACTAATAGTCCTCCATAACCAATCTATCTTTGTTTCCATCACATTTTTCCTAGAATAGCTTCACGATGCTAGGTAGATTATCATATAGTAATTCTACAAAAAAAAAAAAGAAAAAAAACTTCTACAATTTCACTAATGGAACAGACGGGGCATTAGCAAACATAAAAACAAAAAATAGAATGCCACTTCCCACCAAACTAATATTTTTAATTTGATTATCAGAAGTATAATTATTTCAACACTTAAAATGATATTAATATTTGAATGCGAACGATATTTATGGTCGACTGCAAATTATAATGGAATTAGTAGTATCGTTGATGATGAGTGGTGGGAGAAGTAATCATAGTTTAGTGCATGGTAACATCACTTTCCACATCAAAAAAAATCATTAAGAAGGAAACACATGTAATTTGCCCAACGATTTCTTGTGAAACAAAAAACCAAACACAGAAGAAAGAGAATACGAGATTTAGTGTGGTTGGTCTTGACGAATTAGGGGGGCCAACGTAATTATTAATGTTGGAACTTTGATTAATTAAAGAAAAACACTTTAGTGGGAAGTGGTAGTTTAACGACGTAGTAATATTAATTACACATAAAGTAATTAACATCTTCTTGATCAAGGAACTTATCTTCCATGGCCCCCAGACCCCAGTGTCATCCCATTTTCTTTTCTTACTATTCAAGTAAACGTAACTTGCGGATGCAAAGTCTTCTCTGATTAATCTCCTGAGTAGGATCTCACTTATCATTTTTATTTGTTTTTTAAGGTTATCTCACATATCATTAAATAACTTTTAGTGCATTCGGGGAAATTAATAGTATTCCCTCCGTCCCACAAAAATAGTCCAGTTAATAAAAAAGTTTATCCCAAAAATATAGTCCAGTTTCACAAAAGTCAAAATTAATTGAATTGAAATGACTTAAATATCCAAAAGAGTAGTGGTAAGGAAAACACGGTCCACTTCCTTTGATTTTTATTATTTTTTTAATTTTCTCCCATTTTTTCAAATGATTATATCTTTTAATACATGAATAATTAAAAAATGTATGTGTTATATATCAAATTAATCTATGTAACGAGATCTTTCCATCAAGATCCATTGTCAATATTTTTTTTGAGATAAAAATTTTGATCAAATTTAAGTTGTAAAATAAATGCATATGTAGTTAACTTTTACTGAAATAACTAGGAGGGGCATTAGTGGAAGTTATGGACATTAGTGGAAGTTAAGGGCGTGAAATAAGTTGTACATTTGGTGTGTTGACCAAATTAAAAACGTTGTACATTTTCAAACTGGACTATTTTTCTCGGACGGAAGATATATTTTTTTTGGTAAGATAAACGAAATTAATGCGTGAAAATCTAGATTAGCACATTCGGGATGCTTGTGTGCGATCACAACAAGCCATAGACTGATCCTAAATAGACAATGCTACTCCTTTCGGTCATTGTGTCGCTAATAAGACTAAATAATAATTTACAAAACTTACGTTATTAAATATATATATATATGTATATATTACATGTAATCCGTCTCGAAATAACGTATTATAATAAACTAGGCATTTATTATGTGACTGAGAAATTATTATTTGAGGATTTTTTTTTTCCGCCACTTTGCGTAAAGGGGGAAAAATGAGAGAATTTCTTGGATAACACAAGCGGTGAGATGAGATCCGCGCACGAGGAGAATCACATCACCCAAGAGAAGAAGAGAAAGGCAACTCCCACTTTTCTTTCGAGTGAAATGAGGCAAAGTAATAACGTGATTATATCAGCACCTCAGAGAATAAGAGATATATACATCATATGCCAACCTCTACCTGCCCAGAAATATGCGGCAAATTCATATTTGAGATCACAAGCTACGTCCCAACTTCCCCTCGTGGATCTCAGCATTAAAACTGAGCCTTTGTTTGTTTCATTTTTTTATGATTTTTTAAAATTAATATATTAATAACTATCTCATTCCAGCATACTTTTTTATATTTTCAACATATTTTTTTACATTTTCAATATAAAAAACACTTAAAAACATACATTAAAAAAACCAAACAAACGTATCCTGAATTACCTTGTGGAAGTAAAAAATATCTAAAAGATCGGTTGTTTTCTCAAAAAAAAAAAAGGGGGAATATTTGCATAAGACATCCGTGGGTGTGGGCTTAATCTTAGCCCATGATTGTAAATAATGCATAAACAAGAACTGGGCCGAACAATCAAACCCACCCTTGTGAAATCTCTTCCTTTTAATTTTTTTTTTTTTCGTTTATACTGGAATATGTATATCGTGTAGTTTATAAGAATGTAGGAAGTTATAATTCTAATTCTCTGATAAGTTAATTCGGAATGTTGTGCGCATGTCTAATCTTTGATCATCTAGTTCTTTCGGGGTGTTTAAAATAAACATTTACAAGGAGAAACACACATGACGAGATGATGTACCATGAACCCACACCTCAATAAGAAACATTTTGCATTATTTTGAATGCGAAATAAACTTTTAGCCTGGTTGGATTGGAGTATGATTTCCTTTTGTGGGTTGCTTAATGCAAGTGGATTTTACTTCGCGCAACTTGTATAATAGACTAAAATATCATTGAACTTTAAATTCTCCCAAATTCTTTTATACGATCATCTTTTTAGAACTTCTCACAAGTTCTTTCATTATACTGTCAAAAAATCATTGATTTTTGATGGTTTGCAATGGCGGAAAATCAAAGAACACGAAAAAACAAGATAAAATAAGACATTAGCTCCTCAACAGGTAATTTTTTTTACGAAGTTCATTTTCTTATTGGTGTGATCACCATTGTCATTCTCTGACGGATTTTTTTTTTTACAAGGAGAAATAATTTGTGCGAAATTTTATAGCTTTGGCATGATTACTGATTGGAGATCGTGTTTTTTTTTTTTGCTGATTAGTGATCATGCTTTTTTTTATGTCATTTATGTGTCTTGATTTTGTTTCATGTAGTTTGATTTTACTTTGTGCAGTTTGATTTTATTTCGTGTATCTTGATTTTAGTTCGTGCAACTTAATTTAACTTGCGCAGCTTCACAGGGATATTTTAGTCCATTTAATAAGCTGCACAAAGTAAATTCAACCTGCGTTTAGCAATACCCCTTTTCTTTTACCAACAAAAAATTGTGTCCACGGATCCAACTGAAGAAAAAAAAAAAATTGAAGTGAACTAATCTAATAAGGATAATTAATTAGGCCCGAAAGCCGAAACTACAGACATAACCGATTGAAGTTATGGATCAAGCGCTTTCTGGCCCACGTCTTTTTTCATTTCTATTAGAACACATCAACGGCCCACTTCCTCAACGGCATTACATAGTAATCATCATCATCATCATCATCATCATCAATGGTCAAAAAGCATTAAATCATGATGAGAAATGCCTCATTCCGTAATCTGCACTATTCTGAGAAATGCAGAGCATAAATCTACGTGGAATATGTTATTTACTACTACTCAATAGAATATCAGAATAACAAAATGTAATATTCGTCTCGAAGTTATTGTTATGTTCTATAATTAAAAAAGAATAAATATGAGGAGGATAGAAACTCTGACAAGATATAAAGGGCCAGAAAAAGATTTGGCTAATAAAATTTTTCAAAAAAGTAAAAAAAAAAATTTACTAGTCGGAAATAAATGTCAATGGCCAGAAGACCATACTCATAATTGACTGGTAAAACTGAAAACAAAACGCAACAGAAAGAGGAAGACAGTTGACAGAAATGGAGAATCAAAATAAAATCAAGGGCGGGCGATGTTGGTAAACTAAACAAAAATGTCACATTTGAGTTCTTTTTATTTATAACCTTTATTACGGCTAAATAATAAAGAACGTGTCTTACTTTAAACAGATAAAAATATATGTGGTTAATAACAAATTATAACAGCATTTCTTATATATACTCCATTCGTCCAAAAATGTGCGAGAAGTACCAAAAGAATGTTAGTGATGATGTTGATTTCGGTCGTGGCATTAACGTCAGGTCGCCGGCGCTTGAAGCTCATCCCCAATAGCATGGAGATTAAGTTTGACTTTAACATCAGGGGAAATTGGTCACTACCAGTTCCAAAATCCTTTCGTGATCAGAGCAGTTTCCAAGTAGTAGTAGTAGTATCATCGAACTTAAATTAACCATAACTGGAAACATCTGTCAATCAAAATTAATATTCCTAACTAATAGCATTAAGACAGACAAAAAAAAGAAGAAAACTTCAAGCGACGAATCTAATGATTCCATAAAACTCCACGAAATCAAGGACGAGGATTATGAGGAAACCAAATTCGTAAACGCCAAACAGAAATACTCTTTATTTGTTGAGGGTCATGTGGCAAGGATTATGAATCCCACATTGGAGGCATGAGGATATGTGAATCAGTTAATAAGTAAGGTGGTCTCAGAACCCATTAGCTTGAGCTTTTGAGTTCAGACGGGTCTTATCTTACTTATTGGGCTCCATGTCGGATTTTCTCCTCCAGATAAATCCCCAACACTATTTCCTATAATTACTGTCCAGTTTGAAACTTAAATTAGACAATAATTATGAGACGGGGGAGTATAAGTACGGAGTTTAGTGAAATCGTCCAACCTTTTTCCATGAATCACACGACGCCTCCTACATCCCTAAGGCGGCCATCTGTACAAACGTCTTACAACCGTCTCAAGCAAAAGCCGACGTTTGTCCTAATTACATCCCTTTTTTTTTTCATTTTCATTTTGGGTCTCAAAACGTCACACATCACCTAGGCGCCAACTACTTACGTACCCACTCTCCAAACTTCAAAACTTCAAACTGATTCAAATTCATGACATTGATTTGATTAATTTACTTCCCCCCCCCACCCACTAATTAATCCCCTGTTCATTGTTTTGATCGAAGTAGTGGGATTTAGTAGTACTGTTGTTTTAAGTGGAGGAGAATTTATTATTAACTTGATGAAGACTTATTAGCTGGGGAAATCAAATTCAAATGGGTTCCAGGAAGAACAGTAAGATTGGCATTAATAATAGCATGAGTAATAATCATTACGATTATTCCTTCAAGATTTTGTTGATTGGTGATTCTGGTGTGGGCAAGAGCAGCCTTCTTCTCAGTTTCATCTCCCAACAGTGTTTTCAAGATCTCTCTCCCACCATTGGTAAATATCTCTTCACTGTTTGCATGTTTATTGTTTTTTTTTTTCTTTTGCTCAGTTGCCTTTGCTTACAAACTCTGCCATTGATCATAATCATTTCATATTTTGAATTTTTAATTCTGGGTTTTGGTTGGTTTATCCCCTTCCTGCACCATCTTCTTTTGTTTAATTTCATGATAAACAGAACTTCGTTTCTGGTTTTTATCCAAAAAGATTGGGTTTACAGTCAACTCTGCCTTATTCGAGCCTAGAATTTGGAGTTATTCCGACAGTTTTGTACTCCCACCTAATTAGATTTTAGTTTCATCCCCTACAGTTCAATTAAAGATGTTTTCAAAAAAAAAAAAAATCACGAGTTTGAATTCGGCGACTGCTAAAGTGCTATGAGCTGGATGTTGATCCCTGGCTGAGAAATTAGTAGTTGTTTCTTTTTAAATCTTTTCCGTTGGAGCTTAGGGATAATATTTTCTTCAACTTAGTTTGATTGAAGGTTTTCAACAAAAGAAGAAGCAAGTGTGAAAACTAAGGTCACAGGGGATTCTGCGTTATTGCATTTTGTATATGTAGCATTGGATTCACCCAAACCCAGAGAAATATTGCTAGTCTTGCTTCTCTAATTTGAAATGGGCAGCTATTTAGTGATCTAACTTGGTTATGTTCGTTCCTCTGCCATTTTTTTCTTTCGTGATTCTTTGCTTCTAAAACTACATACATAAACTTGTAAATGTTGAATGATGTTCCACTCTGCAGGTGTGGATTTCAAGATAAAACTGCTGACTTTTGCCGGTAAGCGGATGAAACTAACAATATGGGATACAGGTAATTCAGTAATTTTGAGAGAGTTCATCAGTCTGTTTAATTAATTTGATTCATCCTGAAGGTGGCGTCTGGTATTTAGTTTTGAAAAAGGGAGTTACAGGGGAAGTCATTTTCCCCATTTAGAGATTAAGTTCAATGATGTGTTACCTTTGCTCTTGTTAGCTCAGGTTTCTTCAAGTTAGGGATCTTACTTCTTTAAGTGACGCTCTGATTACTGTATTTGACCTCGGAAAATTTGTTTCTCTGCTGCAGCTGGACAGGAGAGATTTGGATCACTAACAAGCTCATACTATAGGGGGGCACATGGAATTATTCTAGGTATGCTATCAAAGAGCCTGATGTTATAGTTCATCAGTTCATCATTTTCCTCATAATTCTGAGGTCAACCATGCTTAGTTACCATGAGTTTCTTGGCCTCAGTTATATTTGTGTATGGTTGTTTATTCTCATTTGCTGCCAAATTCTGCTGCACTTTGAGAAGTGCTAAAGTATTGGATGCCTCCAGAAATTCTTTGTTGTGTAGAGATCAATCTTTCTAGTTTTATCCCGTGTTCCCATTAGTTTTCTACTAGTGTAGATGTAAGTCCATTAGTACGTCTTGTTAGTAAGGAATCTTGAAGGTAGTCTAATATGTATATAATTTCGAGATATTGGTCTCTTTTGCTTTTATGTTTTGGTCTTCGGTCTTGTTGGTGAACGTAACTGCTTTGGTTTTATTGCTCATTTAGTTTATGATGTAACAAGGCGAGAGACTTTCACAAACCTGTCTGAGATATGGGCAAAGGAAGTTGAGCTGTACTCCACGAATAAGGACTGTGTCAAGATCTTGGTTGGCAACAAAGTTGATAGGGTGAGTATGGGGCTGAAAATCTACGCAATGTGAATATGTATTTGGACTCATGGTACCTCTGCAATCCATGAAATTTCAGCTGGAACATGGAATACCCTTATCGTCATAATATGTTTGCATAAGAAACTTACGGCAATTCTACAAATTCTTGTTGGTATGATAAAAAAAAATGCTGCAATATTATTGTAACAAATTGCCCCTGTGATTTTAATATGAGATATTTCGTCTTCAGAATGTTGAAAGGGCCGTTAGCATAGAAGAAGGCGTTGCTCTGGCTCAAGAACATAAATGTATATTTTTGGAGTGCAGTGCTAAGACCAGAGAAAATGTGCAACAGTGTTTTAAAGAACTTCTATCCAAGGTAATTTGTGTTCTTTTTCAGTTTTTACAACTTTCACATCTGCTCAGCTGTTCACAGCTTGACCTATGCAAAATGCCTATGGGTTCAGCATTTCCAAGTGTAAAAGAACAGATTAGTCCTCAAATGCTGAAAATCACCATCCTGTTTTTTTTTTTTTTCCCCACTTTGACCTGTAGCTGTGATGTCTACCTGTCAGTTAGTTACTACAGAGGGGGCATGAGCCGTGTATGCATTCTCCATTGGCTTGGCTCTTTTTGGCGAGAAATGATTTTAAGAAGTTCTTGGTTCCACAGCATACTTTTTAGTTTCATTTGTTTTATTGCTTGTTTGCTAACTGCTTGCGTCACTTGCAGATTCTGGATGTGCCTAGTTTACTAGATCAAGGATCTGCAGCAGTGAAGAAACAGATCTTAGGAAAAGAGCATCTACAACGGGCTCAAAATAGAAGTAATTGTTGTTCCTAAGGTGATTGTGATGGCAATGAAGAATGCATTGGCGCAGATTTAATTTTTGTTACTGTTTGTGTCTCAAGAATGCGAACGACAGCTATGCTGGTCCGGGGAAGTTTTGGGGCTTGTTGCTGCTGTTCATAATGTCAAGATGAGGTTCATTCCATGTATAGTAGCGCCTGTAAATTGATTGCTTTGATACATTTGAGTTTTACTACAAAAGTAGTTTCAAAATGTAGCTTTGAGTTTGAATAGATAGCCCAGAAAGATTTGCATTCTGGGAACTTTTGTTTGAATATGTACACAAACATAATCATGTTATTGTCTAGAATCAAAAGAAAATCACATATGCAGTGGTGTTTTCGCATTTCCGGCTAAGCCATGAATTCATAGAAGTGCACTTGGCTGGATTGCTAGAAAGGTAGCCGAACAATTTTGCTTCGGAATCGAAAACTTCTGATGTTTGTGCATAGGAACGAAGGAGTGATTCCAGTACATCATCCTCAACATCTAACCAAAGACAACCAGTCCTATTTATAAGGTACATTGTGTCTTAATAGGACAGATGTACTTCCTGAAGACAACCAGTCCTATTTACAAGGTACATTGTGTCTTAATAGGACAAACGTACTTCCTGCATTTCAGTAGAATAGTTTAGTACGTAGTTTTAGTTCAACAGAAGCGGACTATTTTTTGGGACAGACGGACTAGTAATTACTAATATCGTGATTCATCAACGTTAACCCACGATGAAAATGACCGATTAACCAGTGTTCTTGATCATTGAGCTGAAGCTGGGAGCTACAACTTGCGCAGTTTGCAGCAAGAGAAGAAGTTGAAACGTACGTCCGCATTTATCACTCACAGAAGTGAGAGCCTCATTTTCTATTATTACATAACTGACAACTGTAAACTAAGAGGTTGAAACTATCAACTAGAATTTGGGAATCTTGAATATGAAAAAGGTCAGCCGGACTGGAGAACGTTATAATCTAAGACATGGAAAATATCATCTGGAGTTGATCTAGCACAATCAGCCGGCTCCTCTTCAAGACAAAGCTACATAGTAATTCTCCCCTTTGGTTTGATCTGTTGGCCCTTCCATTTCCTCATTTTAAACATTAATGCTTTTTATCAGTCTTTATTTCCATTTTATACACAAGACAGAAACAAAGGCACCATCTGTAGTATCTAATGGCATCTTTTAGCCATTGCAGGTGGCTTGTATCTGCGGTCTTGTTCGCGGCAATTCTTGCTAGAGTATATTGCATTGATATTTACGACGAATGGGTAGTTTCATTAGACTCCTCAATCAAACCAGCATTGTCTCCCCAGCCGGTACGCAATTTTAATCCGTGTTTCAGTATTTGCAGAGTTATACTGCCGTATTAACAGCTTGAATTTTGGATACAAATTTCAGGTTATTACTATCAATGGACTGTTTCCAGGACCCCTCATCAATACCACAACCAACGATGTTGTTCATATCAATGTTTTCAACAACATATCGGAGCCCCTTCTTTTTACGTGGTATGATGTTTAGAACAAGTTAAAAAAAGGAATGATAATATGATAATCCACATTTCATTTAGAACCTGGAGTTGATTTAGTTTGATGATTTTAAAAAGGAATGGCATACAACAGAGGCTGAATTCATGGCAAGATGGAGTTTCAGGAACGAATTGCCCTATCCAACCAGGGACGAACTGGACTTATGTCTTCCAAGTTAAAGATCAGATTGGCACTTTCACTTACTTCCCCTCCATCAACTTTCAGAAGGCAGCTGGCGGATTCGGACCTATTCGGGTTAATAATCGTGTAGTCATAGCGGTTCCCTTTCCTGCACCAGAAGCCGAGTTTGATCTACTCATTGGTGATTGGTTTGATTCTGACTACAGGGTAATCAATCATCAAAACATTTTTTACATTCCATTGGTCTTTGGCCAAAGTTCCGGTTTTTTTACTTGTTATAGTCTTTCAGGTAGTAAGATCATCATTTCAAGGCAATTTAGCACTTTTTCCTGATCTCATGCTAATCAATGGCAAAGGACCCTTTGAGGATCCAACCTCAGAAGATTTCGAGTCTTTCCCCGTCACAAAAGGTGCTTTAACCACTGTTCCACGGTTGATTTTACGATGTTCAGTTCAGCTTAATTATACATATCCTGAACCAATTTGGCATTTGCTGTAGGAAAAACGTACCGGTTCAGGATTTCAAATGTTGGAACATTTTTCAGTTTCAACTTCAGGATTCAAAACCACCAAATGGTATTGGTTGAAACCGAAGGGTCTTACACAAACCAGATCACCCTGGATTCTCTTGATGTTCATGTTGGACAGTCTTATTCTGTTCTTGTTACGGCAGATCAAGACGAAAATGACTACTTCATGGTGGCTACTCCAAAGCTGATTGATACCAGCAATAGTACCTCCCTTGTAGCCAAAGGTCTTCTACATTACACAAATTCCATTAGCCAATTGAACAGTTCCCTGCCAAGTGGACCTGATCCGTTCGACATAGAATTTTCAGTTGATCAAGCTAAATCCATCAGGTTAATGACTTCCTTCTTTCTGCATAAAGCAAACTTTAGAAACCATTAACAAGTTAGATTCATACAAAAAAATTCTCCAAATGAACATTTGTTTTGTGAATTATTAGGTGGAACCTGACTGCTGGAGCAGCAAGGCCTAATCCACAGGGCACCTTCAATGTAACAAATGTAACCCTTTCGCAGACATGTATACTCCATGGATTCACTGCATCAATCAATGGATTACCGCGATATGTTGTGAACAATGTATCATACTCTACCCCAACCACCCCATTAAAATTAGCTGATCAATTTCTAAATGGAACTGGAGTTTACCAGCTCGACGAATTCCCCACTAACACTATCAATGAGAGTGCTGCATTTGGAGTTTCTGTAGTAAGCGGACAACAGAAAACCTGGTTAGAAATTGTCTTCAAGAATGACCTTAATCTAATGGATTCTTGGCACCTAGATGGCTCTGCCTTCTACATTGTAGGGTAAGCGATTTGAAAAACTACCCTTATCCGATTTTCCATGTCCTTGGATTTGATAGCTGATTTTCTGAAAAATTTTCAGGTTTGGAGATGGAGAATGGACACCAGAATCAAGAAGCACATACAACCTGTTTGATCCGGTGGTAAGAGCAACTGTGCAAGTGTACCCACAGAAATGGACTGCAGTATATGTGTTCCTTGACAATCCTGGAATGTGGAACTTGAGATCACAGAATCTGCAGAATTGGTATTTGGGACAAGAGCTTTACATCAGGGTTCATGATCCTGATCCTAATCCAGCCAAGGAAAAACCACCCCCTGAAAACCTCCTCCTTTGTGGTTAGTGCAAATTCATTCAAATGCTTATTCACTCCGTCCCAAAATGATTATCATGTTTACATTTTGAGTTTTAGTTCAAATTATAGTAAAAGTAAAAATCCAAATTTGAACAATCATTTTGGACAAACGAATAATTAGTAACTTTCATTTAGATTATCCAGCACTCAGTAACCAATCTATCAATTTTGGCTCTTTTTTTTTTTTTTTTTTGCAGGAGTTGTTAATTCAACATCACTCGCACCAACTGACTCACGGCCATTTGCTTGACCAACTCCAGATTTCTACCGGTAAAAGTAGTCATATGGTGCTACTCAATAGTAGTAGTAGTACTAATTCTTGTAATTTTGGAACTCTTTAGCATATCCTAAACAGCCTTGATTCTTGAATGTAATAATAAGATATAGAGCACTATAATTTGATACAATGCTACGATTCATTAAACGACAAATTAACTCGATCAACAGTGATGCTAAAGCGAGTTACAAATTAAAGATTTGAAAATTCACAATCTCTTGATCACCGGCGGAATTCATATTGTACCTTGAAGAATTTCTTTTAATTTTTCTTATTTATTAATCATATAACATTGAGGCTTACTACTATATTTTCCTCCCACCAAACCACGGAGAGAAATGAGTGTGTGATGCCCAAAACAAGAAACACAATTGGACTCATTTAATTATGGGACAGTAAAAAAAAATTGACAAAAAGCTTGTGCGGAGAAATGAAGAGGCCATGGAGCGGTAGAATTAGAAACCTTTTTTTTTTTAAAAAAAAAAGAATACCATTTACAATTTTACATTTTACTGAACAATGTTTTGACTTTTGAGTGAGGAGTAAAATAAAATTATTAAAATTCAATGGAATGGAGATAAACTTGATATCTTAAATATTATCTTGGTTTTTTTTTAAACCACATGTGCCACATTATTTATCAATATCTTACAATTTGATAACTTTAAAGATGGTTGCTGTCTTAAGAAACTCTTCAACATGGTCTGACTTCTTAAAATTTCTCTTTTATATTTCAAGATATAAATTCAAATATTTAAACATGAAGTTTCATATCTTCAAATTTTAGTTTGTATAAATTTCAAAAAATAAAAAATAAAAAAATTCAAACGTTGAAGTTTTGAACCTATGTCCAAAAAAATATGCTTGACTAATATGTGAACGTGATCACGTAAAGAATATATAATCCTAGGCTACAAAAAAAAAAAAAAATGATCATGTAATTAAGTCATGAAAATATTCCTTTCTAAAGTTATCACTTTGTTGGCTTCTTGTAATCCTAGAAATTGACGTAATTACGGGATGTCCTAAAAATGAGACTGTATTAAAAGTAGGACCAGTTACCTGAAAGCCTAAAAAACTGCCAAAAATTCATTGTCAGTGTCGTTAAACTCATTTAATTACCGTCAAAGACGACCCCAAAAACTGACTTATAAGTATTAGCAAAGTAATTAAATTATTCATTCCGGGAGTTAAAGCCATTATTTAAAGATATTGAATAAGACCCATTCAAATTACAAATTTTTAAAAAATATTTCCAAACGAAGTTTACAAGGAAAATAAGCTGGCCGATCATCAATGGAGTTTACAAGTTATTACCGAAAACAAAACAAGCTAGAAAAAAAATCCAAAACTTTAAATTATGATATTTAAGGGAAAAAAAAAAGATAAACGGATTACTCCAAAGATGTCATATTCCTCCCAATCATGAAAAAGAAAAATGATAAATACCATGGACTACTTTAGATTGCCAATAATTTGGAATACAAAATAATATATTTTTTTTTTTGGCCCAAATAAAGGACATTAATTACCACTAGAACTATAAACTAGGAGTGATTCTCTCTCAGGAAATTCCCATACATAACAAGCACGTTCTTCTTTCTTTCCTCATTCTATTCTCTCTTTCCAACTCTTCATTATATCATTCTCCATTGATTCCATCAAAATCCACCATACAAATTCCTTTTTGATTGATGATATCGGTAAACCTTGCAGCTCAAAATCATGCCCAAATTCAGTGACGGTAAATGCAAATTCTCTCTTCTGTTTTTGGTTGTCATATGCTTGGCTACAATCATCAATGGAGAAGATATTTTCTTGGAGTGGCATGTTGCTCTCAATACAACAGTTAAGCCCATTTCAATCAATCAACCGGTAAGCCCTTTTTGCTTGTTCTTCAGATTAAATTTCTGGAAAGAATTCTTACTATTGCTAATTTACTAACACTTGTTTTTGTGAATATAATAACTTTGTTTGCCTTTGGATAATGTGTAGGTTATTACTATCAATGGTATGTTTCCCGGACCTCTAATCAATTCTACCAGTAACGATATAGTTCACGTCAATGTGTTCAATGAGTTGGACGAACCTCTCCTACTCACTTGGTAAATTCTATACTCCGTGACGTAATTTTCCTTTTTTTCCCTTTATGCTGTTCTTGCTCTATCACACGCCGTTTTAGTTTCCTTATTAATAATGAAATTAAATTCCTTCTTTCCTGATTTGTTTGTAGGAATTTTACTTGTATGAATAATGAATCTGATTCTAAAAATTGTGCCCTTTTGTCTCTTTGATGGGCACAAACTTTGCGTTTGAAATATTTATGCCCTTCCAACTTACCCCAGTCAATCAATGAATCAATGAACCCTAAACCCAGAAGGAATAAAAGAACCACCAGGCAGGCCATAACCCAAACCAAAAAGGGCAGTCTCAGTCGTCCTCTACTTTTTTACTCATCACTGTAATAATAATTCTTCCATGATTAATTTTCTTCTCATTTATGTTCCTTTCCCGGTATATTAGAAATTGTTAATTTTTGTGAGTGCTTTGGAATGATTAATTGATAATAGTATAATTATCTGTATTGAATAACTCGTTCACACAATCGTGGGCGAAAGGAGGTTAAATAAACTTTCAACTTAAGGGATGAAATATTGTATCCGATTAAGTATAAAGGAAATTTTATAAGGTTTAATCAATTTTGATCTTGAATGTTTACACGGACTCGAGCTAAAAGGTGAAAGAAGAAAACATAAATTTTCTTTGATTTTTTTGGATTTTTAAAATTTATTAATATTTCCATATTTAAGGAATATTTTGATAATTTAATAGTACTTTATGAATATTTTAATAATTAAGAATTTTGTATTTCTAAAAAAGGATTTAAAAATTTAAAATGCCAAAAATACCCTTTTCAGAAAGGGGGTCAACTGTTAGTCAAACGGAAAAAACATCGGCATACTAAAATGGGACTAAAAAAATTGTCAATTATAATGTTTAGGTTCAATTCAATTAAATTTTAATATTTGAGACCAAAATTTGGTTTTGGCCAAATGTATGGGATTATTCTAATGGTTTATTCGATATTTTTAATCATGGAAATCAAATAAAAAATATTCTCCTAATTGAACTTAGCATCTATTTATCATCTATGGGAAGAGAGAAACATGCGACTTTTCACTGGTTCAGCAATGAACACTTCTGACCTAGTGAAGTTGATACAGTATGAGATCAGAATCAGATTGATGGGAAATGCGGGAGAATTTGGTCTAATGCAGAAAACAGAATCCTGGAACGATTTTCTTTAGCTTAGATCAATGAGATGTGCATATTATGTAAATAGTTAGACTAATTTAATTCTAGCTAGGTAGGCAGTTTGTAAAATGGTGACAATCGTGCGCTTTTTTGCTCAATCTTTTAATAGAGGTTTACATTTCACCAGAAAAAACTTAGCATCTAAATGGACTTGTAAATGTTTGATCCTTCCCCTTGAGGGGCTTCCAATATAGCCGGTTTTATAGCTTTCACTAGTTCGACAACAAAATAACACTGTATATGAGAATGAAAAACAAATTGTGCTAGCCGCAGCTAATTAACTTCATTTCTTTTCAATATTCTTGACTTTTCTGTACTAGTCTAGTAGGAAAAAAAAACTTCTTTATTGTTGTTGTATTCTTGACTTCTTTTGGGGGGTGTTAATTTCGTTTTATGGTTATTGTTCTTGTTCCCTTCACCCTACGAATAAGGCAAGAGGAAGAAATATTGAAAAAACAAGTCCATTTTCCCTTTAGTTTTCCGAAATGTATCAAGAGTATTTAAATTTTAAAAGTGATTAAATTTAATTCCATTTTATCAACATCTTGTATGTATTTTATAGGAATGGGATTCAACAGCGCCTCAATTCTTGGCAAGATGGAGTTTCAGGAACCAACTGCCCCATTCGACCCGGTCAGAATTGGACTTATGTGTTTGAAATGAAGGATCAAATTGGGAGTTTTTATTATTTCCCCTCTATAAATTTTCAACATGCCGCCGGAGGTTTTGGCCCGATTCGGATCAACAATCGGATCGTTATTTCGGTTCCATTTCCCAAGCCTGATGACGAATTTGATCTTCTTATTGGCGATTGGTTTAACCAGAGTTATAAGGTGATGTACCACAACTCTCTTTCCCTGCGCATAAATTTGCATTTTTTTTTTATGTCCTAATGTAAATATTTTACATTTGAAGTATATCTGGTCTATTAAGCTCTCTAGTTTTACACATCATTGTTCTTAAATGTGAGAGACTTTTCGATGATGTTGAATATATTCATCCTTTCCGCATAAAGAATTCTATGTATTTATTTCATTTATACCAAAATAATATCATATACCACCCATCGTATCAATTGCGTATCATCAAATAAATTGGAATACATTGTTGAAGGGTTGTTAATCTTCCATTGATGACAGGAAGTCAGAACTCAAATTGGTTCCTCACGTCGAAATCTCTTACCTGGTTGGATGCTTATGAATGGAAAAGTGCCATATGGAAATTCATTATCACTAACTCATGAATTCTTCAATGTTTCCAGAGGTATATATAATCACTTGCAAAAATTCCTTTTCATTTTTAGAATAGGAAACCTAGCTCAATGTAACAAATATATTAGATTATTTTAATTTTCTTATTTCTGTTTTTGTTAGAAAACACTTACAGGTTTAGAATTTCAAACGTTGGAACTACCTATAGTTTCAATTTCAGAATCCAAAATCACACAATGCTTTTGGTGGAAACTGAAGGCTCATACACAAATCAAACTAATTTGGATAGTCTTGATGTTCATCTTGGTCAATCTTACTCTGTTCTTGTGACGATGGATCAAAGTGATGGTGATTATTTTATGGTAGCTAGTCCTAAAACGGTGCATGAGACAAACCGAGATAGTCCCCTTGTCGGAATTGGAGTTCTGCATTATGGTAACTCTACTACTCCTCCTACTAGACCACTCCCAGCCGGTCCGGATCCGTTTGATATAGATTTTTCTCTGCTACAAGCAAGGTCAATTAGGTAAATCCCTAATTTGAGTTCACAAGTTTGAATGTAAAATTCTGATTTTATTACTTTGTTTTTTTAAAAATAAAACTTTTTATTGCCTCATTTGTCTTGATAAAGTGTTATCTTATGCTTTTTTTTAAAAAAAAAAATTAAATTCAAATGAACACATAATAAAATAAAAATGACATAACAATGTGGTTGTATATACAGGTGGAATTTGACAGCAGGAGCAGCAAGACCGAACCCACAGGGTACATTCAATGTATCAGGTGTGACGCCCAATCGATCCTTTGTGCTTGTTGGAGGAAACATCATCAATCATAACGTTTCTCGTTACTTTGTGAACAATGTCTCATACGTTACTCCAAGCATTCCTCTAAAATTGGCTGATTATACTATGAATGGCACTGGTGTTTATGTTCTTGATCAATATCCTGTGGACCATATTTTGCCGAAAGCTGTTACAGGAACATATGTTGTTAGTGGGATTCACAAGGAATATTTGGAAATTGTTCTTGTGAATACTTACAACTCAATGGATTCCTGGCACCTAGATGGATTTGGATGCTTTGTTGTTGGGTAAGTTCAATAATTTAATGTTAGATTTGGCAATTTGATATCAAAATTTTATGTTTTGAATTTTAATTGCGTTAAATTTCTTTATTCCATAAAGGTTTGGAAATGGTACATGGACTCCTGATATGCGTAGTACTTATAATCAACATGATCCGGTAGTACGGTCTACTGTTCAGGTAAAACTCAACATTGATAACATATGCGTTCTTCATATAATTGACATGATAAAGTTTTCCATTCTATTATTTTTTATTTTTTATTTTTTTAAAAAAAGAATTTCTATTTAAGATGAATTTCAAATTATGCGTGTTAGGTGTATCCGAAGGGATGGACAGCTGTTTATGTTTATATGGACAATCCAGGAATGTGGAACTTAAGATCTCAGAATTTAAAACACTGGTACTTAGGTCAAGAACTCTATATAAGAGTTTATGATCCTGATCTCAATCCTAACAAGGAGTCGCTTCCCCCGGAGAATCTATTATATTGTGGTGAGTTTGATAGCAAATCAATTTATCGACGTTGAATTTGCTTTATTAATGTTACAACTAATAAGTTTTTTTTTTTGGTATAAATTTTGTTAACACTTTTTGTAGGAGGATTAAAACCACCGCCAACACCCCCTTTGACACCAGCCCCGGCTCCGGCTCCATCTTTTGAGCCACCACAACCCAATCCTTCACCACCAATTCCTCCCTCACCGACAGCTCCGCCAACATCTAGTGCTACATCGTTACAGCTCGGAAGGTAATTTCTCATTTGGAGCAATTGACATGAATTCGAATGATACCATTTTAATTATTAAAAAAAATCCACAAGTTGGTAGTGGTAAATTTATTTCTCTCTTACGTAGTTTATATTGACTTTTATGTTTTTATAATGTTCAGGTTATTGATGGCAATGGCTCTCTTCATTTTCATTGGAATGTAGTGGTGAATTTCAATTCACCTTTTTTCTTATTTAACTATTCTGTATTTAACCATCATTGCGTACCTTCGATTTAGATAATTGCTATTACAAAATTTTTAAACAATATTTTATTCAACTTCGGTTAGTTAAGCTATGTATCTTGTAGAAAAGTACAATTGCAAAATTTTGTTAAATGTCTTATGTTCAGTTAATATTTTGTATTCGTTTAAGGTTCTTTAAATCAAATAAATAAATAAATAAATAAAGGCTAAACCAAAAGCAAAGTAAACAAAAAAACATACTCATCTCATCACAGGTTATGGTGTCAACACATGGCATAAGATAAACTGAATGCTTTAAATATTTAAAACATAAAAGTGATTAATACTTACTATCTCCCTTCCATCTCTCATAAAACCTGGTCTAAACGCCTTAACTTTGTCTTGCTTCCTTAGTTAAAGCACATGCGTTGCCGTTTGTGCATTTTATTAATTAAAACTTGATCCAATCCCATGTTTCTCAAACTTTGCCATATTAAGCTATACCCCTCCTCCATCTAGAAATGATTTTCGACTTTTATATAACTTTTAATGTAACGGGATAATGATTTTGAGATAGAAAAAGTAATACCGTATTTATTTGCATAAGACAATATAATATAGTAGCTTTAAAGTTCTAAAGAAAGAAAATGTGTCAAATAAGTATACAAATTTCAGGTGGCCATCAACTTAAGTACTAGAAATGGTTATAGAAAACAGGTTCATTTTCTATTTAGTATGAAGTAGCATGTTTCACAGTAGCGGATCTAAAACGACTTCTGACTGGGGGTCATAAATATATTACCGAAAAGAATTTCATAATATTATTGTATTAATGTTGATTACAATAAATCTTTTTATTTGATGTTTTTTAATCGCTTGCATATCATAAGTGTGTCCTATAATATTATGTTCAACATAAAAATTAAGCTAGACATCATTCAATAATTAAGTATTTCATACACAAATACATATTATTGTGTTTATAGCTAAAAACTCTTTATACAACTATTACATTTATAAACAAAAGAATATTCTTTTTAAAGTATTAACATCATTCAATAAAACGCTTGTAGTCATGCATGTACACAAACATATGATGAGTATCAAAATTATGGACTAAGAAAAATCTATTCAAATTGAATGATTTAGATATATATATATATATACATATATATATGACCATTTTATTATTAGAATTTATAATCATTAATATAATCATAATTCACAAAACTTGTACCTTATTTTTTTAATCATATAGTACCTATTAGTACAAATTTAATTTAGATGTTAACCATATTTAATAAACCCCATATGTAGTTAAGAGAATGTAAATTAAGAAAAAAAACTAAAAGTAAAAGAAAATGCATCAAACATAAATTTTTTATTTTATTAAAATAATAAAAATACATATATATATATAATAAAAAGTTCATAGTGGGGCCAGTAGGAGCCAAGGCCTCATGGCCCCATCGTAGATCCGCCAGTGATTTCTCATAACGCTAAATTTAGAATTATAAGCATATCCCGTACGAAAGTCAAAATTGTAGAATGACATTACGCGAAAAGTGATAACTAGAATATTTTATTTTATTTAATTTTTTTGATGGACGCTAGAAATTAATCACAGAGGAAATTCAAGTTGTGGTTAGATATAGTCTGAGATGTTTATGGTAGTGGTAGACACTAATTTCCGATTACAAAGCCAGCCGAGAGATTCTTTGTAGTTGAAACATTCAAAAATTCTGAAGCCAAGGCAACCTCCTTCCTCTTTCTGTTAACTTCTATAATCTATCAAGTGGTTCTAACACTGAACTAATTGTTTCCACCAAATAAAAGGTGGACAAAAAAATAAAAAGTATAAAAAGAAAAACAATACAACACCACCAAACATTTACATTAACTGTTCATGGGAAGTGGACTTTTAAATGTTTACTTAACAGATTAAAGAATATTTACAAGTGAATGTCGACAGAGTTAATGAAAGAATGAATGAATGAATGTTTTGATTCAGTTCTAGCTTTTTCCAAGAAATACCCAGAAGATGGATGTGAGTTTTTTTTAAAAAAAAAAAAGGAAAAGAAAGAAAAAAATTGTATGTATATTTGTTGCACCTTTGGGTTTGCTCAGTAGTGGCAATCAACTAATTTTGTAGTGGTGGATAAAACAAGGGCTGATTGTTGTTGTTGCTGCTGTTGTTTTCCTTCTTGTTTCTGTTGGTGTTGTTGAACTTGCTTTGATCCCAAGCCAAACTTTGATTCTTTATTATGATGATGATGTTCATCTTCAGGGGCTGGAAGATTAAGATCCAGAGTCAATGCACTCTTGAATCTCTTGTTATTATGATTCGCTTCGGCTTCATGATCAGATTCTTGAAGATCCATGGTTTCTGGGCTTAATTGGCCTAAAGACAGAGTGGTATTGGCAATGGTTGTTGTTGGCCCTCTATGGCGCCTCATGTGCCCTCCCAATGCCTGCCCAGATGTAAACTCTGCTCCACAATGTGAACATTCATGAATCCTCGGAAAAGAAGCTGACTTCTGAAGATTAATGTTGTTGCTGCTGTTATTGTTATGGCTATTGTTGTTGTTTCCTCTGTTATTATTTGCGATGAATTCAAGTGAAAGGGATGAAGAATTGTTGTTGTTGCTGTGGTTGTTGTAGTTGTTAATCTTGTTCTGTCTATAGCTTCGGAAAGTCATTTCTTCATCATCATCAGAAGCATCCATGAACATCATCTTCTTCTCCTGATGAAGAGCTGCGGCTATGTTTTTAGGCTTCTTGTGGCTTGCCCTGTGACCTCCCAATGCTTGGAATGAAGGGAAAGTTCTACCACAAGTCTTGCACTCGTAAACATACATTCCGGCCTTGCCGTTCCCGGATACCGGCGTCTCGATGTACCTCTTGCTGTTGAATTTCTCCGGCACTCCGTAATCTTGATCTTGATCGTACTTCAATGATGATGGTGGTTCTTTCGTAACTGCGCTATGGTGATGATGATGTTGGCGTCGGCCTTGGGCTAAAAGGATAAGGCAGCTCGCGGTGTATTCGTCTTCCTCGGTGGTTGAATAGTCCCGCGGGACTTGTTCAGCCAAGGAAGAGCTTGAATTGCTATTGGCATTGTTGGTATTGTTGTTGTTGTTGTCGTTGTCGTTGTTGTCGTCGATGACGGCACAATTTTCGCCGTTGCTAACGTAACCTCCCTCTCCACTTGATGAATATTGTGTTGTGATGGTGAAGGGAATTGGAGATTGTGGCCTTTGTCTTTTGGTCCTCTTGCCCTTTACAATGTGGGGAAGGTCTTGATGAGGAGGATCACCGGCAACCACCACCTCCACCTCCTCCTCTTCCTCCTCTCCCTCCCGCCGGACTTCCTCCTCCTCCACCATCACCACCACCGACTCCGGTTTCTCTCTGCCACCACCACAACACAAAGGATGGAAGGTTGTGTTTTTGGTTTTTATGGAGAGGGAGAAGATAAAAAATTGATGGAATGGAGAGACAAAGTTATGAAAAATAAGCGGTTGGAAGAAGGTTGTGACAAGAGTTTTGGTTGCATATTTATAACTACTGAATGTGAGTCGTTTTGGAGAATTGAAGTCAAAAGACACCACATTTAGGGAGGAGGAAGAGGTAAGAACAAAGTAAGCCTTTTTTGCAAAGAAAAAGGGTTGTTTTTTTGGGGTTTGTTTTTGGGAAGTGTACCTAAATATGGCTTTAATGGGTAATGGGGGGAAAAGGCTATTTTTAGAAAGTGTGGTGAAACAAAAATAGTGAGCGAGAGAGCAAAGTGGAATAGAGTCTAAAGATGGTACACACAAGTGAATTGAAAAAGATAGGGACCAAGAATTTTTTACACACAAAAACTATTGGTAAGTTGTAAAATTTGTAACTGATTTTTTTTTTTTTTTCTCTTCCTCTTTAAGGGACTGTTAAATTGAATGCTTAGCTAGGTAATGGAGTGTAGGAAACACAAAGAGAGAGAGAGAGAGAGAAGTAAATTACAGTTGGAAAGAGTGGTGGAGAACAGAGAAGTGGAAGTCCGTTACATACTCTGTTTCTCTCATTTCTTCCAACTCCCTTTGCTTTTGTTGTTTCTTCACTTATTTTTCTTTTCCCAAAAAAAATTATTTTTTAGTTCCAAATACAAATTATTCCCTCATTCTGTCTCAAAATAATTATCCAATAAACTGTACGGAAGAAATGACACGAACCTTTCCGTCCACTGCAAATACACAAGCAAAAATTAAATTGCGATGGTGAGGAAAAAGATGATTGGGAAGATTAGAATTCCGACTTTTAACTGTTATCATTAGTTTTTATGGTAAACAACGTCACTTATCTAGCTAAAGAAGTGAATTTTTGAATGTATATAAATGTTCATTCTTTTGGACGAAAGAACCAAACAAAAAAAGTAGAATCTCCATCGAAGTTCCTATATGATTATGCGATGTAAAATCACAGTAAAACAACAGTTATCAATATACTAATTTACCGAGCCTTTTAATATTACCTCTCGATCATGACCACATCTATCGTTTAGTACTTGTAATGCGAAATGTTTAGTACGTACCAAAACAATGTGGACAAGAAGGTCTCATTAGGTTGGATTGAGTTTGGAAGATATCTTTAGACTAAGTTGTAAGAATAAGAACAGGCTAATTTCTTCTTTTTGGTCAATGAGATATAAATAATTAAATATAGACAGATAGTAACTATTCTTCCAGTTGAGAGAGGCAAAATGGAAGATCACATTAGCAACATTGTTAGAGAATGAAAAATATTTTAATAAACAGAACAATCAAATTTGGGGGGAGAGTAATATTTAAAAGAATTTTTTTTTTTTTTTTAATGGGTACACAGAAGGAAGCGAAAGTCTAAATTAAGAGATTAACACATTTCGTAAGTAGAAAACATCGATTATATCGTGTTCTAACCACAGTTTCAATCTTAACGAAAGTTCATCTAGCCATTGCAAGCCACTCGGACAGGAATTTAAAGATTCATCTGTCTTGACTTGGCATGAAAACTGTCCTTATTTCATGGTGTACCTCAACTCAAACCTAAATTTATAAGGAACTTCCACACTGATCTATCTGTCACCCCACACTCACACAGATAATATGCCACACTAAGTCACTAACCCGTCGAATCACTGATCATTGAATCCTTTTTATAGTATTATTTTAGTTAATCTTGGTATGAATGATATAGATCTTTCTCAAAATCATATGTAATTATTCAGTATTTGGTCATACTTTAATTATATCATACAACTGTATCTAGTGACTCAAACCACTTAATCTGCTGTTCAGAGTGTTGACCCACTCACCTCTATCAATCTGACATCAACTTCCTTGGAGCAAAAACATATATAGATGCTTCTGCCTATATCATTCATGATTAATAAAATGATACGATGTTAAGAATAGTCTTTTGTGAGTAGGGTTTTATTAATTCACAGAATTGAAAATGATCAGTGCCTAACATGCCTACCCAAAATAACAATAATGAAGCTACTAGAATCAATGAACAGAATAACAAAAAAGATTTCAAAATTGATTTTACAATCTTAAATAGAAGTGATTATGTATGTTGGAATAATTGCCTGATTAACTGAATCTGCCTAGTCACATGCATATCCAAAGTAAGATCGTAGCGAGTTATTAAGCCATATCTATCAACGATGATATGACATAATTTCAAGATTATTAGAATTTGACGAGTTTTGAGTTAAAATAATAAATATGACTATTGTTTTGGAATAGAGAAAGAAAAACATTCACTAACGAAAGCGGAAAATAGGAAATCATATGTTAGGTTGTGTGTAGCACGTACGTAAGGTAAGTAAGAGTAGGAGTAGTCGGTACAAGACAAGCAAAGAATCAGATCCCCTAGCATCAAGGGTGGGATCCTTTCCTTCCATCGCCACCTCTCCTTCTAAACCCAATTTTTACATATTTCTATATTTCCTACTTAAATGTGTAGGTATTGTTTTAGTGTGGCTGTTTGTAGTAAAATATACTAGGATTACTATTCTAGTCCTCCACACAGATCATCAATACAAGATAAAGACAGTCGACAGATCGAAAGAAACATATTCAGTAACTTAAGAGCAAATCAAACATTTTGATTTTGGGGGATCACTTGTTGTTTGTTGCTATTCACAACTAACCAACTCCCCAAGTGCTTCTAATTCATAGAATAATGGAACAATAACAAAAGTAACCTTCAAAAGCCAATTTTAATTTTGTGGCGGATCATTTGACCAGCTCGGACAAGAATGGCTACTTTGGCCTACAGGAGAGCTGACAGCACCATCCCATTTTTTTCATTCATTTTTTTTTTAGAAAAAAAAAAGAAGAAAAAAAGGACATGATGTAAAATGAAATGCATCACCCACGAAATGCAGTTAATCAGCTACATTTTACAAAATGTAAAATGAAGAAAGTCCCCTTCACTCCTTCAGGTCAACTTCAATAACACATTGTTTAGCTCTTAAAGGAAGCCTGCACTCTTTTTCTCTACTCTAATCCTAATGGGTATGAATGCGCTATTTGCTTATATTCTTCTTAAAAGTTAAAGTCTGGGGGAAATTATAGTAACATATTTAAAAGTGCAGAATAATTATGCACCTCGGGGCTCTACGAATACAGATGTTGTTCTTGCAGGGACCTGGAAACACCCTAAGGATGCATCATATGTGGATTTCTTGACAATGTCATCAGTTGAGACCATCTGGAATCAGTTCACGTGAAATGTGAAGTTAGTTAGTACTTAGACCAAGATATCTTTGTAGAGTTAAACTTCTAAATCATAAGATAGACAGCCAAGCTAATTGAGTTCTCTTTTCTGGTGGAAAACAAAGGTATTCAATTCAGGGAATTTCAGAAAAAGAGACACTCTATGCAAGGAAATGAAAGTTCAGTGCGAACCAGCTCATAACAAGTAATATACCTGCACCGGATGCAATTCAAGAGTTCTTGCCCGTAAAACAGGGCTATTAAATGTGACATCAGTCGGCCGAGCATTCATAATAACCACAATAGATGAGTAGCTGTCAGGAACAAAACATGAAGCACAATACGTCATTTCAGACACCGAAATAGTAACTTAGGGTATAACATGACTCTCATTCACACTACCTACCAGTGATCAATTTCAGTTAGCCCTGGAATTCCTTCGTAACCATCAGTAATGCTCATGACTATGACCCCCGGGATTGATGATGGACCGGTGTTGTGAAATTTCACTCGCGCCTATGCAAAAACATCATTTATGAAACTATTTTGAAATGGAAATGGCAAAATTTCCTCTATATTACAAGTGTAGAACACCTGCCGTGCTGCACTTCAATTTTTTACATAGTAAATGATGTAGCATAAATGAACGGACATCATCATTATTATCTGCATTTTGTTAAGCGTGACTGATGATTTGACTTCTTGTTGAAGCCACACCTTTCACCATCTAGTATCTCATTACTGGATAAATTACTAAGCATATCCATCACTACCAGAAATGAGAGGAGCCAAGGTGCTTCCACGTGGGTTGTGGGGAAGAAAAGACCACTGTTGGAGCACTCCTTGTCTCAAATAACTCACTTTCCTCATGCACTAAAATTGCCACTAACTACTAAACCACTCCACATCTTTTCTAACCTGGATTTCATTAGCTGTCCTCAACCGAAAGAGTGGTGACGAATATCTGATTTGAATGAGACTCAAAAAGTTTTCAACAGCAGCAACGATGTGACATTTTTGAGGCTTGTAATCTGGAACAGCAAGCCTAGATTTAATTCTGAGAACAAGAGAGTAATAAAACTTCAGAAGTCATTTATCCTTGACCAAAAGAAAAAGAACTGATGATCGTGACCAATAGACATGAAACGTGAATGCTTACAGTGGCCAGTTATGTTCATTTTTCCCTCTTGGAGGAAGACCAACACCCCAGTTGTTACTGTTATAGCTAAAATCTAACCTGAAAATCATTATTTGAATTATAGAATGAAGTTGTGTGAATAGCAAATATGTCTGAATAGACCAAGAAGGAGCAGATGGCCACTCTATAATTCCATTACCAGAAAACTTCATTTGCTAGAAATCTTTTAATCACTAAAATCATATTTAGACAAAACTGAGAATAAACCTGTTGAACCAATCTCCAGAATTATATGAATCACGATCAAGTGATTTTGAACGGAGTAATTCGTCACCAGCATGAAAAAAAGGTATGCCCTATAAGAGGAAAACAGCTGACATTGGTAAGGATAAATGCATCACTCTCGACCAGGAGAAGTAATTTTTCAGTTAAGTCTAGACCACCATAAAGTTTTTCTCAATGATTTACTAGAATTCTGAGCTCCCTTTACGGATGTCTTTCAGAGACTGTTGAGTAGTTACAATTTACCAAAGAAAGCCCATGATATTTAGTCCAACCTGAGAAAGTGCCACTATGCTAGTAGCCAAATGGTTCATCCTGCATCTATCTTCCAAAGGGATATCAACTGGAGTCTATTAAGTCAAAAAAGTAGCATAGTCATGATACGGAGTATCACTTTGTCATCACTACTACCAAATGAAAGGATGTAGGGACGCACCTTCAAACTCACAATGTCGAACAGAGTCTCATTGTCATGCGCAGAAACATAATTGATCTGAGAAACAGGTAAATGTCATGGCATGCATGAGGCTTATAATGCATGGACTGAAGAAACATAGAGCAAGAAGAATTTGATTCATTGGGTTCATATATTTCAGGAAAGAAAAGGGCTTACAGTTTCGGTTGGCCCCAATGCATATGCTACAGGTACCCTGTCATGAGTTAAGACTTCAGATCCTTTAACCTGATGGGCCAGAGATGGTAAGAAGAGAAGGCAATCGCGACAGTTAGATACTACAGATGCTACAAGACTCAAGCTGACAATGCTAGAGACTAAACAGAATTCTTTTCATTTTATAAAAAAAAGAAAATGAAATAGAAAAACAAACGAGCTGTACAAATTGCTCAAGGGACCGCTCCATTTAAACAAGTAGATTATCCCGTAGCATCTTTAAAGCTAAAAGTTCAGCACAAGCATTCCTTATGGGCGTGAGGGGCTCAGACATACAAACTTAACATTTTAACTCCAAATTTTACCGGATTTAAGTATCAGTAACCCAACAATTAACTACAATCTGGTTACAGAGTTGACATCCTCCATCGAGACAGTTCAGCTCTTTGTCTCAGGCCCAAGTAAAATGTGCAATTTCTGTTTCACTATAAAGGAAAGAATACCTCTTGACCAAGAAAATTGGTCAACACGAAGTCCCTAAGGTTTGCCGCCATTCCAACCTAAGTGATTTATGCAGTATTCTGTTAGGCATAGCACAATGTCAATGACCAGACACAATGACAGATTTGATCAAACTAACTTGAATGTGATCCTTTGATACAGCATGCATATGCTCGGCAGCACCTTTAGTTCCATGGTCATGACCATTTGGCTGAAGAAGAAGAAAAAAATTGGATACTTCAGGAAACAAGATTAAAAATTTGAACTGCCAGGATAAGAATAGCTTGGAGTGGGGGAGGAAAAATATTCAAGTATGAAAAAATACCTCCAACACAAGACCAGTGACAAAACCTTGCTGGAGAGGATGACCAAATGGAGAACCACCAAGGGATGCGTCTCGGATCCTATCATTGAAGCTGAATATATGGAAGCATTTAGAAGGTTATCTGAAAATTTTCAAAAATGAGGTTTGTGTAATTGGCAGCAGAATGATAGAATGCAGAGAATACGATCTTTTCTAATGCTAAAGAACAAACTAATATGGATATATTGCCAAAGATGAGCGTAGAATCCCTGAAATATTCTAAGATGGGGACATGAGATTACAGAAAAGAAATGTAACCACGAAACAAAAGATAATGATGTTTATGTGGTTTCTGACATCACTCTGTTGTTACTGGCTAACAAACTGGAGGTAGGAAGATAAACACATCGAGGTACCTAAATAAATAGTCACGTTTTAAGCAGACAAATTAGAAGTTTGTCAGATAAAGAAGAGCTTCTGAAGAAATGATGCCACACGGACAAGCATACTTCATCTATCTTAATTCTTTTAATGACGCATGATTCAATCATTCGCCTCCATTTTAGAATCAGATGCCCATTTCAATTGCCAGTCCATATTCTCAACTTCCTAGAAGACATTTTTTGAGCCAATGCTTTTTCTTCATAAAGCGTGAAATATCTTTAAAAAAGTACAGTGGCCCACAAAAAAGGAGAACGTAATTTCAAGCACCTTCCTATTCCAGTTCCAGGAAGATTGAGCTGTGACGCATTAACCCCTCGTCCATTTTTGGCAACTTCACCAAAGTCCCAACCTTCTCCATATCTGCAAAGTAGATTTGATGAAAGCTTATTTACAAGTCATATACATAACATAATTCATTATATGGTGCAAATGAATTGACAGATCAATGTTAATGTTGGCTGGCTGATGAAAGTCAACAATCAAAAATGACGAATACAGTAAAACACAATGAAACTTGTTTGTTTTTCAATGCTGTTAGACCAAACCTATTAGTCTTACAAATAGATACTTGAGCCATCAACTCCATCTAGCTGCTTGGACAAGCCCTGCAGCATAGCCTTTGCCTTCACCTGCGTTCATTTGAGTAACCAGTTCAATTGCATGAGTAGGTTGGAAGGCCAAAGAGTAAACTACAGTATTTAGACAAATCTATCTTCCTCTCAATTCCATTTTCCGTAGTCAATCTTTGATTCCTTAATTTTTCTCACAAGTGAATACTCAAGCTCGCATACATTGGTGCCACAAGTTAACAGTCTCATAAACTCACAACCCTAATCCGTGAATATGCAGTGCTGAAAAACCAATAAAGGATCCTTTCAGCAACAGAGGAAAAATTGTTGCTTTGAATGAATATGATGATACAGAACAGTGCAAAGTAGCTGCTTTTCAGATTATAAAAAGCAATATACCTTTACTACTGAAAGTCTGAAACCTGAGTATGAATCCAATAGAAAGTTTACCAATCCCAACTAATCATCCCAAAACCCTCTAATATCGAAAAGCATAAAACTTCCACAAGTTTTTGAAGTGTGTATGTCAGATCAAAACCAAACACAAAATGATTAATAAAGGTGCACGCTAGTTTAATGCAATATAGGTGGGACATATTTGAACCAGAAACTTGATGCATTCTAAATCTCTTACAGGCAGCACTAATTAAGAACAATTTTTTTTTTTTCTTTACTAACAGTAACAGCAGATTTAAGCAATATACCATAGTTTGTTTCATCAGATGTCCCATCAGGTCAAATCGAAATCCATCAACCTGCAAGATTATCATTTGTGAACCAAGTTAAATTCACAAAACAATCCACATCTGCAATGTAGGATGTTATCACAGTTCCTATGGGCCATTGGTTCATTAAACCATTTTAACAGACTGAAAAGTTTAAAGATCCTTCAGCCAAAAAATTGATTGAGCTAGTGAAGTCAAATTAGTTATAAAGCAGAGTTTTAATGCACAACATTAAAATGTCACCGTTACAGCAAGCATCATGATTGTCCAAAAATCACACTTTTAATCGTAACACACAAGTTACTTAAGCAGTGTTTTGATGCACAACATCAAAATGTCACCTTTGAAAACCAGAAAAAAAAAGTAAAAAATAAAATTAAAAAAAAAAAGTCACCTTATAATGAATAGCCCAGCACAAGAGATCATCAAGGATGAGACGTTCAACCATGAAGTGTTCACTGGCTGTGTTGTTTGTGCATGTGCTCTGCTCAATAAAACCATCAATATTCCTTCTGAGGTAGTAACCCGGTACAATCTGCAGACAGCTTTCCAGTCAGGGTTCTGTTTTTGTACATGGGGTTGGGATAAAGCATGTGGTTTGATTCTGGGGAAAGACAGTGCAAAGAGGTGTATTTTAGGTCCCAAAAGGAAAAAATCGAACTTTAATCTACTGTAGGTCTAGGCATCTAGCAAATAGATGGTATCATCCATTTGCAAGCACTGAAAGTTTCCATCAAAATTATTATGTTCGAAAACACAGAAAAAGTTATTTTCCGAAGTTAATGTGTCAAACAACAGAAATTTGGGATAAACTTAAGACCTTGTCCAGAATTGAGTTCTCATCAAAGGGGCCACTTCCATGGACATGATTATAAACAACATCCAATACAACCCGAAGACCTATTTGGTTTAGAGCCTGGAAAAAGAAATCACTTTGAAGTGTTAAGAAAATTTAAAAGCAATAGCAAAGTCAAATAATCTTTTCACTAAACAAAAAAATCCAAACGTTTGGTATTTGCATACCAAATAAAACATTACTACCTGTACCATCTTCCGGAACTCCAAATTACGGCATGAACCATTTGGATCACTCGCATAGCTACCCTTAGGGACTCCCCAAAGAACAGGATTGTATCTTCACCGTGAACAATTATAAAGAAAACTTTCCATAAAAGGAGCAGAAGAATCAATGACCAAGAAGCAAGTTTATCAAGATGAAGTGTCAAAACATACCCCCAGTTATACCCATCATCATCTTGAATAGCTGTGATATAAGCCTGTTGCTGATCTGAATCTGGAGGAAAGGATTCGAGCAGACGGCAATCTATCAAAAGAATTTGTCATTAGAAGGAGTATCTAACAAGTCAAGTAGAATCATTCACGTTCGCCAAATCATGTATGTCCCAGGGAGAAGTGAGTTGAAGTGAGATGCTATCCTGAGGTTTGCTTACCCACATGTTTCCATTTCTGTTTTTCATCATCAACACCAGCAAACTGGAATGTAGGCAATAGATGCACATGTGTGATACCGGCACTAGATAATCTCTTTAAATGGAGGACACCTGCAGAATTCTTCAGACGAAGCCAGAATGATCAAACGGTGAACAAGGCTTTGGTCGATGTGCTCCTAATCAGGAGGTAAAAAGTTTAAGAAATGTTTAGACTATAGTAACTCTTCTGATGATATAATTAGTGCAAGATATCAATAAACAGTTAACATGGTTTTAGAAACTGAACATTAAAAGTAAAAAATGAGAAAGCAATATCTTATTACAGCTACAAATCCAACTAAGTCAAGCATGAAATGCTTGTTTCCCACTAAAAACGAAAAGGAGAAACTTGTAAGGAGTTATTCATCATCAGGTCAGAAGCAAGTTTTCAAGAATGGGAAAAGACGAATACGCATCATCAAGCACAAGAAATCCAACTGAGTGGAAGTTACCTGAGTAAAGGCTAGATAACCACCACGAAGATCGGGGTGCACGGTGTAGTCATTGGCACTGAAATGAAAGCAAAACATAACAAATTGAGTAGCAACAGATAAAGAAACTTTAGCTGTATGAATATGTGACAAGCTACAGTTCCTATCAAGATGACTTGAGAACAATGATTAACATGAAAATTATCTCATATGAACAAACAAAATCTTACTCAACCAAGACTAAAAGCAATAAATTGCTTAAATCATTTTCTTATTATACACCTGAGGAACTTTGCACTTTTAAGGCACCAGATTTGGTTCATATCTAAGATGATTTTAGCCTGAAGTAAAACCTCACCTGAAATCCCTAATATGCAACTCGTAGATGCTGATATCAGCAAAAGAAAGGAGGCCGGGTTTCTCATCAGCTAAATTATCCCATCCTTCCGGTTTAAGTGAACTAGAATTGAGATTAACTAGAAGCGTCCGTCGACCATCTCCTGAAAGCCTAGTCAGACGATAAAATGATGTGAATGCATTATTTTATACATGAAAGGAAATCTGAGAGCAGGAATGATTATTGTAAGAGATCAAACGAAGTATACCCTCTTGCATAAGGGTCATTGACCATGCATTTCTCAATCTGCAATGTGCTTGAATGGTAGACACAAACCTCATAAACATAATAACAACCCTCCCAATCTTTTGGCCCCTTGGCACTCCAAACTCCACTCAACTCCTTTAGCTGGATAATTTCCGGGGGATCACCCGAAGACAGGTCCTTGTAAATTAGAGCATGCACTGACTGTTTGCAGAGTAGAAAGAGAAATAAAACAGGAAGAATGAATCATTTGAGTAAGAGACAAAGATGGAGCTGAAGCCCAATAAGCAAAACAAAGAACCAGGTAAGTTGTACTTGAGCAGTAGGTGCCCACAAGTTGAGAGAAACCCCATCATCTAAAAAAATAGCACCAAGTGGTCCATTATAAGAGAACAACTCATCAAGGACGCCAGGTAGCTGCAAACTTGTGGCACTGGTGCAACTTCCATTGCCTGAATGGGTTGAAAACCATTTTGGAGGAGCATTAGAGACCACGGAGAACAATAATCCCAACACATCAGTTCTTGTTCATGTAATTTTAAAGTAATGACAATTTGAATGTGTGACAAAAGCCAAAAGTAGCAAAGTATGTACGCTAAACAATTTTAGTGCAATAACTGGACATAAAATAGTCAAATACTGCACACAACAAATATGCTCTGTTAACTGATACCATAAGTTCATTGGAATGACATGCGCAAGATATTACTGAAGGTACTTGAGAAGCAAAAAAAACGCAACTATGTTCACATTATGGCCTGCTTACCGCTGGAAAGTGCAACAGCCAATTGGCATTTGAGTAGACTTTGCACATCCAGATTGGGAGGAAGGGTGAAAGCATTATAGTCCCGGATATGGGGAAATTTTTCAATCACCTGGAAATGAAAGAGTTGAAACATCAAATATGATGATCAATATAAATCAGCAATCAACTGGCTCAAAATGATGATCTTACATACTGCGGAAGCCCGCCATCACGTCCTCGGAGTTCAATCTTGACATCATAACCTTGGCACAACAAAATTTTGATACTAATAACCCAAGTGTACCCAAAATTCAAAATAGAAATATAAACTATTAACCCTATAAGGAACGCAAACCTTGAATTACGTTGTCTGCAACAAATAAGTCAGCAGTTCCGCTAGCATATAAGAAACAGGAGCCATTTTCAGCTTCCACATTCCAAGCAACGACCGATTTACTGACCCAAAATGCTCTAGAGTACGATAAACAATCCTGCACCAGCACAAAGTTTAGCAATGTCTCCTGGCTTAAGTTTGACAGACTAATGATATTCCCATTAGCATTAGGCAAAGTAATTCAAACCAATTACTGGAAGAACCTAAAATCTATTGCTTCACAGAAGTAGCCAAGGAAAGAAGCTAAACACTGGATATAGGCTGTAAGGCATGATCAACCTGAGGAAGAGGAGGGGATGGCGTCACGTGGGAAATGGGGTCCTCAACCTCAAGAGGCATTGATGAGGAGGAGGAAGCGGAGCAACACCGGAAATTGAGGATACTACGACGGGTCCTCCTTCGAATCAAACAACTCCGGTGTCGGGTTTTGGCCGTGATTGCGCTAGGAAGGAGAGGATTGAAGTCGTGAATTGCATGGAAGAATGATGGTGAAAAGATGGAAGAAACTGCAGCTCCATTCATTTAAAAAAATAAAAATCTTGCTCTGCTGCTACAGCACTGCTCAAGAATGTGGTAATACAGTTCTAATGGCTTCTTCGCCAAATTACAACGACGGCATAAAATCAAATCTTCTTCAGTTCTTGGTTCCGATTACCTTTTTACTCAATTCACAGGATCTTTTTTGGGATTCATTCATTCACTGAATCGTCTCTCTCTAGTTGATTTTTTTTTTCTTTATCCTACTAAGTTCTCTTTTTCCTCTCTTTCCAGTACTTCGTAGATTTTAATTTCTTACGTTGGGTCAGCAGGCCACAATATGTCACGCTCCGGGGGGCGGAGAGATGGCCGGAAAACAGAAAGGGGAGAAACTGAGAACGTCGGGGAAGGTTAGGGTTCAAAATTGGGGAAGATCGGAGAAGAGGAGAGAAATTGGAAAAATCCAATTCAATACTGAAAATATCTGATAATTCAATTCCACCCCTAACTGACTATTTATAGTCCACAAGATATAAAAATGACAATTTAACCCTATAATTTCTAATTCTTACAATTAAGTCCAAGGGGCATGACAAACTCCTCCACTTAAACAAGTCTTGTCCCCAACACTAATAAATAAATAGAACCTCAACAAATCAGTTGGGAAAATTATGATGTCGATTCCCTACCAAATTTCATCAAAGGTTAGAGTACCTCTCTTGAAGATCGTCACTGTTTTGTCCCATACTTTCGGAATTATCTTCTTTGGAATGTCCTTAGCATTGGATATATCAGTTCAGTGTTGGTGAGATATTGTTGGTCCCCGAATTTGAGCTTTCTCAGCTCAAGACAGTGCCAGCACTATAACGCAGAGGCTGAATAAAATGGGAAAAATTTGTGAATTTCAATTCTCAAACCCGGCGTCTCCTCACATCTTCTTGATCTCACCTCAACATCTGCAGCCTTTTGACAAAAGGTAGCTACATTTTCATCTCTTTCAGGTTTGCTAACTTGAAATAATCTCACCAATTCACCCCAAACTTGGAGTTGGTTGTTGCAGCACAAACCAATTCTGGTCAATGGCAGAATGTGTCCAACAAAGTCACTTGGTGTTCAAAGAGTAAACTACTGAGCTCAAAATCAGTTGGAGCTCGATGCTCAAGTTTGTTCAACTCGCACATTGCCATCGGAATGCTAGCAGTAGCTGTTTTCTCCTCATTCACAAAGTTAAAGCTCACATTGCTTCCACTTGAGTTCTCAGCTCTACTTAGCAGCATTAAAAGAAACAACTGATTACCTAGTGTTGCAAACTTGCAACTATCCATTTATTTGCTTCACCTTGTTGTCTTAAGGGAAACTGATAGGAGACATCCAATCTATAGCAACTGACTATGAAAAGTAAGATAACCAATGGTCCTTCTGCAATAACTTTCTTATAAAACCCATCCAACCTGAGATAGGCTGGAAGAATACATTCTGTAATCTCCCAAGCATGCAAAAGAACCTTGATAATTATTCCCTTCCCCTTAATATTAACCTTGTTCTCGAGTTTTGGAGAGAAATAGAAAATTACATCCCAATACCACAGAAGCATATCAAACATAAGATCAAAATCATAGTTCATTGCAGCTACCTTTACTGGTCTCAGATTCCAAAACCACAATCCTAATCCCCCAAATTCATCACCAAGTTGTAAGAGCTCTCCATAAACATTTTTAAAAATTACAGAAATATCAACAATCAAGAGAATAATTCCTATTTCAATTACTTCATTTTCTGCTTTGAACCAACTACCCAAATAGGTTTCTTTCTCAATAAAACTAACCTTACTTTCCTTGTCAATAGTTTGCACTAATCTGCCAGGGGGAAATGTAGCTATCATATCAGGCACATAATCAATACCAGCATCACTCTTTGCAGTCGTAACTCTAGAATTAACAACAAACAATCTCATGCAAAGTCCTTTGTTAATAATTACCTTAATGTCAGGGTTGCACTCAACACAACTAAATACACCAAAAAGCCAAAAAGATCAGCAAGATGTTTACTATTAATTTCAATCCTAATCAGAACTCCGCTGAGCTTACTATTTTGTGACAGCTTAATTTCAATCACCTCAACCACAGAACTCGATGTAACCATGTCCCCTGCAGCCATAAGATTAGCTACAAATGAAAATTCAACACCGATATCGTTCCTTATGACTAGAGACAGATTGAAATACTCGAAATCACCATCAGCATTAACTTCAATCAGGAAATTACAATCATTGGCAGAATAAAAAATTTTCACAGGATTCACAAGGTTGGTACCATTCAGCTCATCGCTTAACATCAAATTAAATTCAGTAAACATGGTTCGTCCAATATAGAAATGCAGTAATCCACCCGGATCAACAAAATGACCCTTTTATACTTACTAGATTTCCAACACTAGAAAACACATCAAATCCACCATATTCAACAACAGCTCCGCTGTCATACTCATCTATACTCAGAAACCATACCTTATGCCTTTTATCCTTAAAATAGTGCATTCCACCAATAGAGTTCAATTCAGCATACAAACTTCCATATCTCAATTGTTTGACACAATATCACACTCAACAGAGCTCACAGGTACACCATTTATAGAATCAAGCAACACATAGTCATCACTGTGATGCACAACTTCATTGAAGTAATCAATCGAAGAATTTTCATCAACAACATCCATAAGACATTCTAATCCATCAAGAACCTTCGCAGGCAACTGGAGTTTCACAATTTCTCCCTCACTAAGTATACCCTTGCTAAAACTAAGATAGAGATCTATAAGCCACCAATTCCCAGAATGACATTCACTGATAATATGATCAAGCATGTTATCAAACTCAAGAAAAAAGATTGCAACAGTTTCATTAGGTTCACTGAAAAAAGCTCTGTTGATTTTAGGTCCCCCCAAATAACAGTTAAGCACTCTGTCAAACATATTTTCGGTTCCTCCCTCACTGACTAGAATTTCATAATCATCTCCGAAGGAATTAAGCACATCATTTAACATCAAATCAACAGAAATCATACTGCACTTACACTTATGCTCAAATTTAGCAATAACAACATCATTTGTAAAATGCAAAATATCAGTTTCACTCGAGGTACAACTCCACTGATCAATATTGGATAGCCAGCAAACATTTATACCAATCAAAGAGTTCAAAAACTCATATGAACCAGCCTTGACATCAATTAAGGAACACGGATCACGCGGGAATTCACAAGTCAAATTCAGAATGGTCTTTTCAGCCGTCGAACTCAAGTTTGCAGCTTAATTCTTCCCAATATTATCATAACCACACTGAATAACACAATCCAGATTCTATATCACCAAACCATTAACATCAATTAAATTTTCGAATTCAGTTTAAGCTCTTCTAATATAGCAACATCATCAGGACCTTCATTTTCCCCCAAATCCACATGAAATGAGTTTTCATTATAACAGATATACACAGCCTCATGAATAATATGCTCAATTCCACTATCTTTTTCTTTTAAGCTTAACAATTCATGATGCTTTTTTGCACAAGTACAATCAACAACCATATGTTCATAAATGGAAAAACCAGTCCCCTTTTTATCAAGTAGTTTAACAACACCATTTAAAGGCACAAAATCACCCCCACTGCAGATATCCTCATCTAATTTCAAAGTTCTAATAGAGAGATGATAACATGCAACATTACCAGGGTAAAAAACAAAACTATTTAGACAATTTTTTTCAGTTAACAGACCTTGTAAATCAACATTTGCTACCCCCTCCTTTTTCTTAACTTCAATAAGACCATCAGAGTCACACATGGTTTCGACGAAAACATCATTCGACTCATTCATTGGCAGCATCTCATTAGAAGTCACACTACAGTCACCAAAATCAACATTCCTAGTGCATTCTGATCCACTAGGGTCAACATGAACGGAAAGCACATCATCAACAATATCAAAATTATATTTGGAATTCAAATTGACCATAGCATTATCAACCCGGCTCATCATTCTAACATCATCACAGCGATGCACAATTTCAACATCAACTGTTCTATTTAAATCAATTTGCGTACCCTCTTTCTCTTCACAAAATATTAAAACAGCCTCAATAGCACCACATTCATCTATATAGAAGCCTATAGGGTTCCACTTCAAAACCAATTGGCAATGAGGGGAGTAATCCATGGTGCTTATATACTGATACAAAGTGTCTCCAAACACCAATGTGGGATAAATACTTCAACACTCCCCCTCAAGCCCAACGGGCTAGGACTAAATCACCAGGATCAGGAAATAAACCGTAGAATAACATCACGGGCCAGGAATAACGTCGCGGACTTAAATTGGGCCACGGAATAACATCGTGGACTTAAAATTACCATAGGCCGAGCCCGCTCTGATACCATATAGAAGCCCATAGGTTCCACTTCAAAACCAATTGGCAATGAGGGGAGTAACTCATGGTGCTTATATACTGATACAAAGTGTCTCCGGACACCAATGTGTGATAAATACTTCAACAATCTAAAATTAAAGCATCATCATCCACTTTTGAAGAATCATCTACGAGAGTTGCAGATTGGGTTAAACTTACATTTTGGGGCAAGGAATTACCATTCTCATCCAGGATGTCAGGGGAGCTGTCAACAGGCGAACAAACATCATTCTTTTCTTCCTCTGTTACTTGCGCCTCAGAATTCACCTCAACAACACCATCAATTTCTTCAATCATCTTTACCGTTGCTCCACCCTATTCTGATTCAAAGTCGCTAGCCTCCTAGACATGGACCACCACTTCCGGTCGGATGACTTTACCAAATCGAAGCTCTAGCTGATCCGAAAAATCTTCCCAATTATCTAACAGTGATGCGTATTCCATCCCATATAGAAATTGGAGTGGCTCGCCGGTCATGTAAAAAGAAGCAGTAAGTAATTTCTTATGTGATGGGATGCGATTATAGAAGAAGAAGTTCTATTCGGTCAAGCCAATCACCGACGTCTTTGCTGGAAATGTTAAAATCAGAGATTTTATCATGAAAAGAAGTAAAAGATTTTTGTGAGAAAGGAGAACTGAGATTCTGTGGAAAAGAGATGTCTTTCCTTTGTTGGAGAACCCTCTTTATATAGGGTAGGTATTAGCCTAACAAACAGATAGATACATATCTAAATCTAATCATATATTAGATTTAAAATTTAAATATTTATAACTAAAAAGTAACAACTATTAGAATAATAAAATCTGCCAGCTATAAACAACAAATCTTTAAAGATTTGCTGATTCTGTTGACAGGAAAAAAGGAAAACTCCGGTTGGCGAAGGCTCGGAAAGACCATGGGAAGACGGGTTTGCCGGTAAGGCTTCGGATGGAGGAAGTGACAAAAAGACTTGAACCCTAAGTCGGTGTTCGCTGGAGTTAACCATTTCCGTCGATGAAGAAGGAAACAAAATGAAGAAATGTTTGGTATAAAGCTTAATCAAAGGATCAATAAGCAGAACAGAACCGAGGATTTGGTGCGGACCAGAGAAAATGGAGAACGTCGCACAGAATTCAAAAAAGGGAGGAGAAGAACTAGAGTTCAGAATTCAGAGGGTTTAAAGCAGAAGGGAAAGAAAAAGGAAGAACGGAATTCGCGAAAATGATATAGAAACGGCTGAAAATTGTCCGCTCTGATACCAAATGTCACGCTTCGGGGGCCGGAGAGATGACTGGAAAACAGAAAGGGGAGAAACTGAGAACGTCGGGGAAGGTTAGCGTTCGAAATTAGGGAAGATCGGAGAAGAGGAGAGAAATTGGAAAAATCCAATTCAATACTGAAAATATCTGACAATTCAATTACACCCCTAACTGACTATTTTAGTCGACAAGATATAAAAATTACACCCATAATTTCTAATTCTTACAATTAAGTCCAAGGGGCATGACACAGTATCCATACTTTCTTGAACGGACCTCCACTTCGTTTGGGATCCAGAATGCGCCTAATTAAGTACATGCCTTTTTAAAACACAGGCCCAAATATCAAAGTAGTACGTTAGTAGAGTAATATTCGTTCTATTCGATTTCATCTAGTTGATAAAACTCGAGTCTTTTAGCTGATTCAGTGCAGAAATTTGTGTTAATCCTAATCAGAGAATAAACAAAAAGTTTCATTCCGAGGGAGCTTTACATGAAGATCCAATGTCAGAGTCAAGAATTTCACAAAACAGTGGCAAAATTCACACATGCAACTAATAACACTAAGATCTGTTCGAAGTAAAACTGCAAAAATACATAGGTTATATTGTTTTTTCCATTTGACATACAATTCTTTCCGTCCCGAAATTATTGTCCATTTTATATTTTCAATTTTAATACAAGTTAAATTAAAAATGAAAATTCAAACCGGACAATTATTTTAAAATTGAGGGAAAAGAGAGTTACATGTTACTTATATATATCTTTAGTAAATTAATCAAAATGGAGGTGGCATAACCTTGGTGGCTTCTACCCCTGGCTCCATCCATCACTGCATGCATTTACTTGTATTGAATTTGTACAAATACAAACTGGAGATGAACATAAATATACTTTTCTGACTCACTGATTTATTTTATAAGAACTAACAATTGAATTGATTTCATTATCTATACCTATTACATCTATACAAGAGATTAATAAGTAGCTCAAAAGTCTACATAATAAATACTTTAAAGGCTAATAACATTAGTTTGAGCAATCTCAGTGTGATCAAAACTATCAGTCAATTCCTCACTCATTTTTACCAGGCTACCAGTTGCTAAAATAGATCTGGAATTTATGTCATGCAAGGACCTCAAATACAGAGCCCTGCAAGCATTGGATGCAGCTTCGCGTAATTCCTTGTTTTCAACTTGTTCAGGACCCATCAAACAATGCCCCAGAATTCTCAAAATCGGTTGTAACAACTCCCATGACAGATTGATCCTCCCTCCCCTGCTATTTCCATTCTTATTTTGACCATCTCGAAGATTATCAATTCCGGGTTGATCATAATTATTACCAAACTCACCAGCCCATGTTCCGAAAAACTCGCAAAATTCAATCTTGGAATCCACGGGCATTTCCGAAATCTTGCTGTAATAAAGCTCCAGAGCCACTCCCACGATCCGGGCTCTTCGGGTCGATCTGACCCGGCCGTGGGGTTCCAGGCTCGGAGTAATCACCGCCATGTTTAGCTCGGTGGCGCTGTTCTTCAACGTCTGTGTCGATTCGTGGTAAATGCTGGAGTGGGAAATATCCGGGATGCATACGGTTACCGCCTGGCCGTCTCTGGCGGTGGTTTCGTGGGCGTAGAGGGCTAACAAGACGGCTTCGAATCCGGCCAGAGGTTTGTGGAGGGAGGCGCGTGAGAGGTAGACGCCGGCGAGGACGGGTAAGAATCGGAGGACAACTAGTTGGAGATCGGGTACGGATGTTTGGAAGGTGTCGTAGAACCAGCGGCAGAGGTTGTTGTCTCCGCCGCCGGAATCGGGTTGGCGGAGGAGATGGGAGCATTGAATGGCAATCTCCGGATCGTGGAGGAGGGCGAATGCGGGGGTTTCGGAAGACAGGAGAGAAGCGGGAATGTGAGGAATGATTGATTTTAGGGAATCTATGGCTGATTGGGCCTTTGAATAGGAATCGCACCAAGAAATGTGTGGCCTTGTATTATTGGTGGTTGTGGGCTGCATCGCAGTGGTGTTGTCAGCGGCGGCGGCGGCGATTGGGCCGTCATCGGTGGTTGAATCGTCGTCGGTGGTTTGGGAGGTGATCATGGCATCATCTTCAGTAGCCATTTTTGGATCTTTAGTTAAAAAATTTGTTTTGGAAGAGGAAGAACGTTAAAATTTTGCAATTTGTATTTAGTCAGGAAATTGAGGAATAAAAATAGGATCTTAGTGGCTCAAAAAGAAAGAACATCAAAGAAAAAATACCACCACGTGAAAATTAGTGACTTCAGCCAGTTGGAAATGAGGTGCAAAGATGCAGGAATTCAATATTTCTAAAAATAACGCAAGCGAAAGTCCTCATCAAACGTTAAATTAAAAATAAAAATTCAAACCGGACAATTATTTTAAAATTGAGGGAAGAGAGAGTTACATGTTACTTATATATATCTTTAGTAAATTAATCAAAATGGAGGTGGCATAACCTTGGTGGCTTCTACCCCTGGCTCCATCCATCACTGCATGCATTTACTTGTATTGAATTTGTACAAATACAAACTGGAGATGAACATAAATATACTTTTCTGACTCACTGATTTATTGTATATGAACTAACAATTGAATTGATTTTATTATCTATACCTATTACATCTATACAGGAGATTAATAAGTAGCTCAAAAGTCTATATAATAAACACTTTAAAGGCTAATAACATTAGTTTGAGCAATCTCAGTGTGATCAAAACTATCAGTCAATTCCTCACTCATTTTTACCAGTTTAAGAAGGCTACCAGTTACTAAAATAGATTTGGAATTTATGTCATGCAAAGACCTCGAATACAGAGCCCTGCAAGCATTGGATGCAGCCTCGCGTAATTCCTTGTTTTCAACTTGTTCAGGACCCATCAAACAATGCCCCAGAAATCTCAAAATCGGTTGTAACAACTCCCATGGCAGATTGATCCTCCCTCCCCTGCTATTTCTATTCTTATTTTGACCATCTTGAAGATTATCAATTCCGGTTTGATCATAATTATTACCAAACTCACCAACCCATATTCCGAAAAACTCGTAAAATTCAATCTTGGAATCCATGGGCATTTCCGAAATCTTGCTGTAATAAAGCTCTAGAGCCACTCCCACGATCCGGGCTCTTCGAGTCGAAAATAATATTGAGATATGCTTAAGTTCCCTTGTCCCACATTGAAGTTGGGAAACCAACTTGATCAACATATATATCCCATGTACTACTACTTTCATTGTCAATTGGTTTTGAGGTGGAACTACTTGCGGGCTTATATGTGCCTTCAAGAATTGCAAAGCTGAAAAATTATGTACAAGGTTTGACTCTCAGAACGCATGTATATCTTTTTCCGTTACAATAAAAGGAGTCCAAAACTTGCCAAATTAAATTAAAACATTTCACTGATAAGAGATTCTAACCAAGTTGTGCTCCAATCACCGTACTCCCGACGATGCATTGTTGAACCACCGCAAGTTTACTGGACAAGTAGCAATTAAAGATGACGTAAAATCCACCAAAAATTTTATTTCACGAAACCAATGCCTTACTTCAATTATCCACTCTCTTCGTAGCAACTCCCAAATCCCCAGCACCAAGTCATGATGGATGCCTACTAGCTCTTCCATACTCGTCACCAATGTTACTACACTTTGGTTGTCAGCTTCCGTTCTGTCTATAATCAGAGTCCCAAGCCAATAGCAGTCCTTGAAATAAAACTCACAGCTCAGCTCTGGCCTCTGGTGATGGAAACAAAGCCAATATTCATCACAAAACTTCGTAGCTACCTCCCGCAACAAACCCCAGTTGAAGCCAATCCACAATGATATCTGTATATCTGCTTCCCATTCCCAGCTAAGCTAATTCCCATATTCCTTTTACAAGCCCATAAATCACACCAAAGCGCTCCTTATTTCCATTGGATTATCGAAATTATACTTTGGTAATCGACCTCAGCAATGATCCTTCTCCTTATATTTCAGCTCTGATGATGGATCAATAACCAATAATCATCAAAAAAAAAAAAAAAAACTTATCATCAACCGCCTATGATATCAGTCTCGAGCAAAAATCCCCAGTAGTCTATCCTAATAGACTTTCATCCGCAAGATGATTGACAGCAGAAATGTGCCTAACTCTTCTAAGTTTCAACGGCTAAATTATTATTTAGTCAAATACTAAACCTAGATTTTGACTCTTTAGCATATATAGTCTAATCAATGGCATTTTCCTTCCTAGTTCCTGCCACACCTCTTAGGTTTCAACTCAACTACATCCAACAGAACTCCAACCCTGATATTTCTCTACGCACAAAGACAATTTTCAGTTAACACATATCGTCATGAAACTACAATTAACTGAGTAACTAGTGTGCGCCATGAGCTTCTTAATTGGGTGAAGTAATAGCACAACAAATTAAAACAAGTAAATGAAAGAAGGGGGAATCTTCATTGAAGTAACAATGTAAAGAAGAGGCAATTTGCTAAATGTTGTCAAATCAGAATGACGTGATATTTTTTTAATAATAAAGTTATTTTTTTCATACAAAAACGTTCAACAATTTTCTTCTCTTTTACTAGCTTTATGTGATGGTGAAAGGGGTCTAATTAGATGCTAGTTAAATGGCGGACACAAACACCATGCATGGTAGGTGCACTTCATGGAAAAGGTCATATAGGATCATTTGGGCCTTTGGGGAATCTTTGGTTACTTGTTGTGGTTGTTTTTACTATTTACCATATCGATTTACTTTAACAAAATCATCAAAGACCATAACTAAAAAAAAAAAAAAAACTACAGAAAATAAAGAGTACTAATACGTAAGAATCACAACATTACTTTGATTAAACAAAAACATCTTTGTTAATCATGATTGCAGGTCCACTGCAACATATTCTAAACAAGAGATACACTTCCATTTTCTCTCTTGTAATGAGAAAAAAGGCAAAAGGAAAATACAGTATCCATATCAAATTCCCCACCATTTTGGAGAATTTGGACACCCCAATTCATAATTTTTGGGGGAAATTACAAATTAGAGCTGCTTCAGCTACAATAGAAAAAAAAAAAAAAAAAAGGTGTAAAAAAGAAGAAAGAAAAAAAAAATCAAAAATCAAGCCTCCATTCTGGAAAATCATCACAGGAGAAAAAGAGGGCTTAGCTTGATGAAGCCCCATCATTTTTCCCTCCTAAAATAAAGTCAGGATCCTTAGTTTCTAAGACAAACCACTAATGTACAAACCCTTCTAATTAGGCATTATAGCCATCCCATTTCATGCTGTTTTTTTTTTTTTTTTTTTTCCTTCCTCACTTTTCTGGCTTTCTGAAACAGTATGAAAAGGATGGATAATATATATGGGTAGCTAATAATTAAGGTGAAAGCGCACTAACTAAATGCTGGTCAATGATGATTGGTGAACAACTCTTTGGTACTTTGAATTGCGAGGTGAAGAAGAAGAATCACAGCACTGTTCAGTACTGTTTGGAAAGACTCTTTTTTTAGTACTGCAAGTACTAAGACAGGAATCCTGGTGTTGTAGAAGCCTTGGCCTTGGAGAAGAAATTGTCACCGGAGGAATGTCGATTGCGCTGAGCTGCGGCGGCGGATGTTGCCACTGAGGCAGCGGTCCGGCCAAGAGAAGCGTTTGTAATAGCGGCCCGGCTTCCATTACCGCCTGCAAGAACTTCCCTTTTTCCGGCAATGGCTTTTTCAGCTCAATTTTGTCAGTCAAGTCTGTAAAAGCTTGATGGTGAAGCAGGGGAAGCTCTGTTTTTGCAGAAACAGAGTCCTTACCGGCCGGCGAAACAATGACGTTTTCGTCGCAATCGGAAGAGGAAATTCCGGTATAAGAATCACCCCTTCTTGGCTCATCCTCATTGCTAGTGGTAGTAGTTGTGCCGGAACTCAATATTGGTTTTGCAGCAACTGGTTGTTCAGTGTTGAGCTGCAATTGTTGTTGTTGTTGTTGTTGTTGCTGAATTAGCAGCTTTTCAAGCATTAATCTCTGACATTTTGCCAAGGCTTCATCTCTCTCTTTAGTTGTTCTGGACAAGAGAGATTTGAGAGCCATAAGCTCATCATCTTTTCTAGCAAGCTCCTCTTTAGCAGAAAGAACTGTACTTTCCAGCTCCAGAGTAGCATACAGCAGAGAATGCTTCAATTCATCGATTCCATGGATTCCCTGTAACCAATTAACACAATGCACATGAGATTCCATGAAAAGAACTCAAAAGAGGAAATGGGTAGAAATCAACGAATGAATTACCTCATCTTGGTAGTAATAAGCCCAATTGAGAGGACTGCATTGATCTTCCATGTGTTGTTGGTTTTGAGATGAAGGTTTTTTTGCCTTTCTTGGTTAGGTATGTCTGAACTAAAGAGAGCACATAAAAGAAGAAATGTTTATGAGCTCTTTTCACTTCTTATAAGGTTGTTTTTAAAGTGGTCCTTGGGATCAATAGTAGTATCTAATTACTACTAGTAAAACACAATACTTACTTATTGGAATACTATAGAGGAGTAGACTAAAAAGTAAAATTGGCTAGCCATAGGTTGCTTTTTGGGGTTTTTCTCTTTTTCTCATGGGACATTTGGTTGGACAAAAACACAAAGGGCCAAAAACACCAAAAAGCATGAAAAAGCCAAGGGGGTGGTTAGTGCATATCTAATGTCTATATAGTACCACTACACTATAACAACTTAGGTACTTATAATAGTTTCCTTAGTACACGAGGTAGACCATAGTGGCAGCCTTTATTAGGGCGGGGGTTGGATGTGGCGGGAATGTGTGAATTGAAGGTATGAAAGAATGAAACTGTTTTTAAACTTATTTGGGGGGCGGAAACTCGGCTTGAAGTATTTGCCTTTGCCGGTTTATGCTAGTTGCGGCTGCACCGTGTGGAGATAATAATAGATGAAGTGATTGGGAACAAATATATTTCACACTCCCTCTCTTTTCCGTTCCCGTATAGTAATGTTTTATTATCTAGTTTTACGACAAAAAATAATTAGTATTTTATTAATTGAGCCTCGGAATATCGTTACATTTAATGTCAGGGATTAGGACGAAGGATGGTATAGTGAAAAATTTAACGGCATTTTCTCCAAACAGTTTCACGTAGATTATTCAAATAGGTATTTGATCAAACAATTTTAACGGTGGATGAATTTGTAGGCCTTGATACTCTATATCTATATTTCTCTCTCTTTTCTTTTGTTGGATTTCCTCTAAAATATGAGGGTTCTTAACAAAATACATAATTAAAAAAGACTGACTGCAAATGTTGAACTTCGGATTTTCAAGAAGATATGTTTGGAGATTGTGCACCGTACTTTTTCCTTGGTTTCACACCCGACTATAAATTTTTTTAAGGTTCAATCAAAAGACAATAATAGTAGCAAGAATTTATCACAATGTTAATTAGTTGGGACTTCTTGAAAGTTGTTATTTAATTATAGTAGTTATGCTTACAATCCCTTTGTAATTTCACTATATTATTATTCCTTGTACCGACTTTGAATCTTCTGACTTCACAAGTACTACTAATAAATCGTACGTGATTTCAGTTTTTTTTTCTTTTTCATTACTCAAATAAGAATAATAATAATAACAAAGATAACCTGAATTTGTCCACGAAAGAAGAGGGCAACATGCAGGTTAAAGTTGATACTATATCATATTCGTGTGGTCAGCTTAAAGATGTATACAATTTATTAATTATATTAAAAAAATAAGTGAAATGATTACAAATATTTGATCTATGACTTTTCTTGCCTTTCGGGGTATATACTGAGGTTTCCCTTTTTGAATTTTTGACCCTTTTTTATAAAGTAAATAATAAATTACATGGCTAAAAAATAAGATACGAATCCCTATAAGAATAAAAATTTGGGACATAAAGTTCTTGGAATTGTTGATGGAGATGAGATTTAGAGAACCAATCAAATTTAGCAGGCTAATGACCCCCTGCTCATTAAGTACTATAAATTATTTAATGTTATGGAGAACTAGCTTAGAATTGGGCCATCTTATTCCCGTGTGGGACATCTGAATTGACAAGGTAGCACGATTAAAATGACCAATAAGATTTTCTCAATGATATTATTTGCACATTTAAGCGCAGGTTTCTGTCATATTTTTGGTATATGATTAACAAAGTTAATACTAACTCCTTAATTATATGGTAATAATTCTCTATTTGAATACATAATTATACACTTGTTACTCAAAGTGATTCAGAAGATTTTCTACCAAATTTAAGTAATGATACTAAATACATTAGGATTGCTGCATATTGACAGCTCACGTCGTCGATGATATTTAATCCATTAAAATGAAGAGTGTTGATAAATTGAGAGCAATTTTTTTTTTTATATTGAGAACAAATTTTTCTTAAATATCAACATTACCCTTATATTTGATTTTTTAAAATTTTATTACTTAGCAAAATCTATTTCATTTTCTCTAAATTTTACTCACCTCTTCTCTTCTTCACAACTCCTCTGTCGCCGCTATATCTTTGATCACAATTTTTGGCAGCTAATTTTCATCGGTGATGCCAAATTCCATACAGAAAACACTGAAAAAATAAAATAAAAATAATAAAGCAAAAACTTATGACAATCAATCCAATTCCAAAAACAAAACATGTTGAAATCAATATAGAGCTATTTTATGGAAACGAAATCCTAAGGGTATTTTTCTAGCACACATCAAGAGGTGATTTTTGTGCACATATACATTATCAGTAATTTAGCGGTTAGGCAAATCGTTACAAACAAAACATGTCAATATATTGTAAGGTAAAATTAGGTGTATATTGAACTCGAAATCAATCGCGGAGTTCCTGATGTCCGAGTTGGACAGCCAAAGGTAAACATGCAAAGATGGTCGTGCGACTCCAAGAAGATTTTTGAGGATGAAATCAATAGAGCGTTTTAGTTGCATGAACTTGATTTTTTAAAAGAGTATTTATCAGGGAGTCTATTGTCTCATGCATACGGGAAGTGATTTTTTTCAAGAAAGACAACTATTCTCCACAGACTACACTGTATCGAGGTGAACACCGTTGATCAATTGTTGAATTCTTGTCATATCATACTTCTTTTCTTTTAGAAAAAATATTTCAATTTATTCAATTAAAACATTAACCGTTCACTTGTTAAATCTAAACAATATAGCAAATAAATTATTTTTTTTAAAATGAAGATAATGTAAATAAAGTAATTTTTTTTTTCTGGAACCGAAAGAGTATACTCCCTCCGGTTCTTAATATAAAACATTTTGATTTGTCCTAAGTTTCACTTATACGCTTTTTTTTTGGGGGATACAGAACTTAGTACGAATTTTTAATCGACAAAAAAAAAAAATCTTAAAAATATTTCCTAATAATTATGAGAATACAACGAATGTGAAAATATATTTTAAAATTTTTTTCTTCAATTAAAAATATATTCTAGGTGAAACCTAAGACAAAATCAAAATGTCTTATACAATTTGACATTTCACTTCTAATACAATTTGAACTAAAAATAAAAACTCAAATTAGACAATAATTATGGGACGGAGGGAGCATTAAGTGCCGGGGGAATATGTTTTTATACTTTTGTATCATGCATGGTATGCGAGAATTCCATAATATTGAAGGAGGAGAAATCAGAAATGAAGTGGCAAAAGCTATTCCAGGGGGGTTTAATGGGTAGGGTCAGATTGAAAAGCTTTTGGAGAACAAAGTGTTTTCTTGAGTCCTGAGGGAAAAAGAATAACGGCTTCCATTTTGACCAATTCAAAACTCCCTATTTATGCTTTAGGCCTTTGATTTTTCTATTTTTGTTTTTCTTTTGGTCTATTTTTTTCTTTTCTTTTCAATTTAGAGTATGTTTGTTTCGTTTTTTAGTGTATGTTTTTAAGTATTTTTTGTATTAGTAATGTAAAAAAACGTATTGAAAATGTAAAAAATTAAATTAGAATAGAACAGTTATTAATATTTTAATTTAAAAATACCATAAAAAAAATGTATTTCTTGGCTCAAAGCCTTCAGGCTTCAAGCCTTGAGCTGGGATGAGGAAAGCAAATACCACGCGTTTGCTTTGCGTGTGGGGCCTCCTATCCTGACATCATAAAGGGGACCCCACCAACTGAATCTTTAAGGTGCTACTACTGCTAAAAGTGCTACTACAAATCTACAATCCATGGATGTGGAGCATGGATAATTCTCCATTGAAATTACAGTTGAAAGTTAAAAGCAAAACCACCACAGGTCCACGTATTTCTGTTGACCAAATATTATAAATAACTAGATGGCAAAATAGAGGGGAAAAAAAAGAAAAGGAAATTCTGTTGCTTGTAACACAATTAATTTGCAATTGTACCATTCCAACACAAAAAAAGAAAAGAAAAGAAAAAATAAGTCATTTCACATAAGTGAGCACCAAAAGAAGTTGTTTCTAAATGCAAAAGAATAAAATGTACAAGTTGATAATGAAAATAAAATCTTGGGGAGTTGATAAGCAAGGAGTGGACAGTGAAACTGAGATATGTATGTATAAATTAAAGGTTTTATGGTTATATTGAATCATGTTTATAGAGAAATTAACTTCATTATCGATTGTATGGTGGATATTGCTTCTCAGGACTATGGTGGATATCTACCCTCTCTTAATCATTCGTTTAAGGTGTGATTATACTTGGAACATGATATTATCGTTGTTTCATATCCACGTATAGTGTGATGATTTCTTGTACTTAGAATTCGGTTTCTTTCATCATAAAAAAAAAATAAAATACAGTTAATGCATTAATAATTCCAATATTAGGTCTTTATATTATGTTAATAATGCTTCCTTTTGAAAATATATAAAATATAAGTCTACTTTCTATTTGAGATTATGTCAAAATATAAATCTATTTTCGTTTTGCATACATGTTTTTTTTTTCCAAGTTAAACTTGATTTTTAAATGCTACTTATAAAATCTCAATAGACAGCCTCTTGAATTATGTGATTGGTTTAATTAATTAGAGATAAAATTAATAGAATTTTATATTTATCAATAATTAGCTCCTAATTCTTATGTCACTCGAAATGGATATATATATATATATATATATATATATTTTTATAAAAAAAGTAGTAATCAAAACTCGTTGCATCGCCATCGGACATCAATACCGACCATCGGCCCGACATAGTCGTTACCTACGGTGGCATGTTAGGACTCGTGTATCTGATACGTACGTCTGGAAAGATAGGTCACAACCATAATTTTGCTTGAAAAATAAAAAGGCTAAAAAACAAAATCTTCTGGTACGGTTTTTC